TTTGCAGAAAAATTCTTAACTAAACCTGGCATCCAAAAATGAATTGTTGGCTTTTATTGACTGCTTCTGAGCTATTCTTTCTGGTACATATGTAACAATAGCTAAAAATACACCAAAGACAACAGGTTATCTTGTGAATATGGTTGTAGGTTCTTTGTGTGCATTGCCTGTAGATGCTGATTAGCCAGAAAGAAATTAACTCACTTTCTCTTTCGCTCTCCTTATTAAACACTGACAACTTTATTTACATTGGTAATGGTAACATGAACAGTAATAATGGAATGTTAGCACTGAATTTAATGTAAATGAAAAAAATGATGTAAATCATTATTTGTTGCAACTATACAAGCTTATTGTTGATTGCTTTTGACATTGTATTGAAAAACAATTCAGAATGAAAATACTCAAAAATGTAGCTTCAAAATGAAATATTGAAAGAAAATATTTCAATTTTTAATTATTATCTATCCTCTTTATCCTTATAATCTTTACTTCCTGCCACACCCTCTTTCACTTGTCACACTTCATTCATCATAACCATTTTGACAGTAGTCCTCAAAATTGATTGGCTTCCAAGCCTTGTATTGGATGAACTTTGGTATAAAAAGAAAACTAATTCAGTTTTGCAAAAAAAAAAAAAGTATAAAAAAACAAAACAATCTTTTTTATCTTGTTTTATTATTGAAAGTTGCTAATGCAGCTTTATATATACATATGCATATACACATACACACACAAATATGTATAGTGTCATCTAAATTATGCAAAAATGAAAATCACACAGACATCTCAATTTAACAGATATGTTTATCAAAATTACACAAAAATATCTGGAAATACTAGAGAGTAAATTTATTCAATAAATTTACCACTGGCTTCAACTGTGATATTGAGGCTGTGAGGTCGTTATATATTAATTCAAAGCAGAAAAAGGGTTAAACCCAAAATGAAATATAAACTGAAAGATAGACAGATAGAAAGAATGGAAAATATTTTCCCAGCCAGCAATTAAATTTTCTTTAGCATTAATGTATTGAGAAATGAAAAAAGAAAATGAAAAAGATTAGGATTATGAAAATCTGTCCATCATAACAGGTTTACGTTTTCACTAAGACGGCAACTGGTCCAAGGATGGAAAACAGTGTGTCTCTTTGTTGAGAATTTAGGTAAACAAATATATTTTCATTAACAAAAACAAATTGCGAAATAATTTTTAATTATCACTTGGAAGGTTTAAATGAGAATGTGGTTTAGTTTATGTTTTCGCTAGGCAGCTCTGAGTTTTGGGGCTGAGATCCTGCATTGAGTGCTTCTGAAATCCATGTCAGATTCCTGATTCCAAGACTTTGAACACAGCTCTCCAGAAGTTTAGATAAGGCTCAGTGTCACTATAGAGATTGATGCTGGAAGGGTTAATTTTGTTGTACCAAGATTTATATAAACCAATTGAAGGTTAACCCCATGAATCTCTTGTTTTATTTTTCATTGGGAAGATTTTTTTTTTTCTTAATATGGCACCCGCCACAGCTTGAACAATCACTGCGAGATTGTGAGCTTTGATTTCCTACTGCCCTGAAATTAAGGTTCTTCTAGCAGCCACCCACTTGACCCAGAGCAGCACGACCACCTCAAGGCACTTGATGTCGAATGCCATGTTAAGTCTGAGGCCCTCACCAACAAATTCAGGAGTTCTTATCATAACGATCAGATTGCGTTTTCTGAATTGCCGTAACAGTGTAATCACCATTAGACTCTTTCCAAATCCTCTGCACTGTCCTCAGATTGGTACCCAAACACTTTAAAATGTTTGTATAGACAAACCATTTTGTAATTGTTCAGTCAACTCATCAGATATATATTTCTAAACAAATAATGGATATTTTATTTATTAATCTGACAGATTTTATTAATTAAGGGAATGTCTACTCAAATATACGTATCCATGAAAAATAACGATAAATAAAGTGTTCAATATCTGGTTAGAGGATATGCAAATGTAAACTTTGACATTGAAGTCAACATCCAGTCTGTTTCATGCTAAATGCAATCGTCTGGTGATCATATTTATAATTCTTTTAAAAACCTTGAATTTGTCTTTAAGTCTTCACCATGATCCATCTTTTTGCATCGTTTTTTAAAGTGGGATGAATGAGCAGCTGTTGTTTTTTTTGGGGGAAGGGGGGTGTTTTTTTTAAAATCTTATTTTATGACTGGATTTCATCCAATAGGGACAGAATTGCAATAAATCTGCCTGAGGGAGTGTCTCTTTCAATTATTTAGGTGGACAAATTCTGACCCTTTGAAGTCAAAACCATTTTAATTTTGAGCAACTTTCAGCAGATAATACCCTCTCTCCTATGAAGTCTTTGTGAACATAAGTGAAAATATTTTGTTACTAATAAGATTGAGTAAATGATGAAAAAAAACATTTCATATTAAAATATATTCTGTACATGTTGATACCAGGTTTTTGATGACTTTCTGTAAAGTTGGTTGCATTTATCAGTGGAAATTTCAGACTTTGACCTGCATGTCTTGATACAGACATGCAGGTCAAAGTCTGAACAGATAACAATTTAAACTTTGCAAATTTTCATTTGATGGGTCAAAGGACAATAAGTGAGCCATGAACTTAAGCTTCACCTTCCTTTGGTATATTTTTGTATGAAATGTGTGAGTGTAAAGACACCACACACACACAGACACACAGGGTGTCCCAAACAATGTACTCACTTTTTGACTTACTTTAATATCAATTTCACTATTGATAAGCTTGCATTTAATTTTGTTTAATATTTAATTTAAGCAATTAATTTTGTTTGTAAGTCAATAAAAACTGCATTTATTGTCATTTCAAGACAGTACATTTTTGTTAGGCCACCCTATATATATATATATATATATATATATATATATATATATATATATGATTCAATACAGATGTAAATTTGAAATTCATTTCTTCAATTCTAACTAGTGAAAAATTGCTCTTAGTAAAATAATAAATATCTCTAATTTATTTATAAATAAACATTTTATTTATTATTTTACTTAGAAAATCTAAGATAATAAAATCAATACTGTATAAAAAAAACCTTACCTATGACTGAAGTCCATTTATTTACTGAAAAGGACAGACTATTTGTAATTGTATTCTTATGAAGAATTTAACACCAACAAAGTTTCCAGCTTTAGTCATTTAAATTAAAATACTACCTAAAGTATAATTGTGTTTTGCTTGATAAACAAATAAAATTAACATCAACAGTTAATAATCAATAATAATAAGACTTGTTAGCAGTGTATAATTTTGTTTTCTATAATTTGATCAAAAGCAGAGATGGAGTTATTTTAACAATATTGTGTCAAATTTTACTTAAGATCATTTGACTAAAAAACAGTGTAGTATCTGATTTTAATTTATTCTTGAGAATATTAATAATAGTTAAATTCTTAATTCAAAACTCTAACATAGTCTTTATTTTTTTAAGAAAAAAGTATTCCTAAAATAAAATCTTACAAAAATAGTCTATAGCCATCTTGTTTTTTTAATGATAATAGAACATAACCTATTACATCCCAAAGCTATTTATAGCTGAAATAGAGGGAAAGAGAAGACCCAATAAAAGTGACATTTTCTTGACTGTATCAATTATATTAATTGTGCTAATTAACATTATTCTTTATGATAGGTTTTGTTAGGTCAAGAAACAAATTTCATAAACATGTAAGGACACAGTTAAAAATACAAAAATAACACTAATTTTCCTTAATGCAAAAAGACCCTCCAATACACAGAAAGAATTTTTAATTGCTTCTAATGAAATTAATTTTCTAACAATTTGATATGGTTTGGAAGCATACAGAAGTGTATTCAAAATATAAAAAGCAATCAAATTTAATTTGAATAATGTTCTAAGTAATAAAATTCAATTTGTAAAATAAACTGTATATAGTCAATAGAGTTTGGCAGTAATTATGTATATGTATACATTTTTATATTTTTTTAATCTTGTGTTTGTGTGTGTTATGTATAATGTTTTGTGAATCTGTATATCAGGTGGGATAGATTTGTATTCTGACAAGATAGATTTATATACATAACACATTCAATCAAATATATATTTACACTAAGAGGACACAGAATACACAAGTATTTGATTTTAGCTAATCAAATAAGTGATTAAAGCTGTTATTAATGAATAAACTTTGAACTGCTGAATTTAAAATGATCTCCTCCATCTGCCAATCAGTTAAGATGGAAGAGAAGGAAAATGCTTCTGCCTCCATCTCTTCATCCATCAGCTCAACAGAATGTCCATCCCACCTTGTTTCTGTCTTGATTTTCAAATACATCCCTTTTTCTCTTACCACTCACAACCACTTTTGTCTTTCTCTTTAATCATATGAAGGCAAGCAGAGTGCCTTTTGCGAACGACTTTGAGATTTTTCTTTACAAAACTCAAAATACAGAGAGATTGCTTTGCTTTCCTTGGACATAACGATAATAATTTATATAATTAAAAGGTAGTTTTTGCATGATTGTCAAAGTCACTCTTCTAAGTTAAAGAACTGTGAAATAAGACTTTAATTGTTTAGAAATTCAGAAATTGTTTCTTTTATTTATTTATATATATATATATATATATATATATATATATATATAGTAGATTTTTTTTTTTTTTTTTTTTTTGGCCTCTACCAAGGAATTTATTAGTTATATGCCAGTCACCAGAAATAAGAAGTCATACACACACACACACAATTTAATGAAGCAAATTAAAATGGCCGGTGGTGTTGGCGGTGGTGGGCATAAACTAAACAGTTTGATAGGTAGAGAACAATAGACACTGAATATCAGATACAAAAACAACAAAATAATGAAAAAAAAAACAATAAGTATAAAAATCAAATAAATAAAAGAATAATTTACCACAGACATTTTAACATTTAAAAACTGTATCTTACTTTTTAATGTTTGATTTGTTATTCTTTTTCAGAGATTTCTTGCCTCGGGGATCTGGCATTGTCACCCGTCGACCCCTTGTCTTACAACTTTTCAACAGTAAAAGTGGTAAGTATTTATCTTCAAAAATGGTTGAACTTAAATAAAATTAGACTGCCATCTTATGCATCTAAGATTTGCAAGTTTACAGATAAATTAGAATATTGCAAGAATTCTTTATTTTAGTGTGAAATCATTTTCTTTCTTTTTTTTTTTTTTTTTCAAATGTTATGTTATGAACAGTTTTCATCCAGGTATCCAGTATGGTTTGGGTGCATGGAGCATATTGCCACTAACTTGTGGTGACTTAGCAATAATTAATTTGATGGCTGAAGATGTTCAGTTTTATGGCTTGTGCTTTACTTACTACAATTAACTGGATCCAGTCTTTGTGTGTAGTTTCTATTAGATTTGTCATAAATAATTTCTGTTTCTGTTTATGAATTTTATTCTTCAAAAGATAAGCATAATTACATATTCATCATTTGACAGCCTCTTGAATCTAGTTTACATGAAAGTTTTTTTCTCCATTTAAGTATTTCACAGCAATTGAAAAAAGGTAATAATTAGTTGGTGCAAGGTCAGATGAGATAGAACAGGCCAATGAAGTTTCAAATTTTTTTCCCAGTGCTCTTGCTGTATGGGGGCCTAGCATGGTTATGGAGGACAACAACAACATTCCTTTTAATCTACTGTTTACACTTGTAGTATAACCCAAGTTTATTCTTAACTGGCACATTCAATTAATAGTTAGGAGGATTCATTCATCATTACAATTGTTTCCCAAAAACGGAAATTATGACTCCATTTAATATTTGAGGTGACTGTTCCTAAAAGTGTCAGATATTTATTGTTGTGGTTTTGTAACTATTTCTATCAACCTTCATAGGAAATATAGAGACCACTGCCAGTATCAGCCATTTTATTTACAATCACATATTTTCAGATCTCTATATTTTCCCAGTTTCTCATTATCTTTGAAAGGAACTGATAAAAAAAATAAAAAAAACCTAGATTTTAGGAAACTTTTCTTTCTTTTTCTTTACTGACTCTTATGTAAATCTGGATGTTTATCAAGGCAATTTTAGTTTAAAATATAACTGTCCTATTATACAAATGGACACATGAAGCAGTATCTGTCTATATCTCTGAGATGAGGTATTATGATTACTTATTTATATTATTCGGACTGTTATCATCTTCATTGCCATATTCACAGCATTTTGGCCATTGTATGCTCTGGCCTTCTTCAGATGATTGGAATTTTAACATGGCACATGGAACTAGAACAATCTACCCTGGTGGATGAAATAAAGGATTCAGTTTGAAATTCCAATCACCTGAAGAATGCCAGAGCATACAAAAAATGTTGTGAATATGGCAATTAAGATGAAGATAACAGTCTGAATAATGTAAGTAATGTTGAAACAGGTTCAAAATTTACTGATATTGCTTCTATATTTTTTGTAATTTCCTCTACTGCATGTTCACTTACCTTTTCCCTGCTATCAGCTGCAATACATGCGGGTTGGGGACCGCTTGTGAATTCCAAATTCCCATGAAACTCCAATATTGAAGCTGGCTCAACCCACCTCAGGTGAATGTCGTTACAGGTATCAGCTGCAAACATGACACTATGGTGTAAGAAAATGAAGGCTGTACTATAATTTAATCTGAGAGATAAGTAAATTCTAATATTGAATTCTTGTTATAAAATATGACTGGTCAATATGTACATTTGTATTTTGACTATTCTTAATTAACTAATCAAAGCAGCTCTCTTGCTGGATAAGAGCGTTGAATGAATACATTCAAATATGAGGTGAATTTGGCAAAGTTATGGTCTCGACAAATATGTATTAAGCAGAATAGAAGAGTGTGTACTGCTTGAAAGAAAACATTAACTGGCCAACTGGTTTTTGTGATATGATCATTTGCAAGTGGCTAATAAAATAACAAGAATGCAAAACTTAGAAAAAAAAAAAAAAAAAACATATTGCAAACAAGAGTGGAATATTTTTCTCTTTTTAAATTCCTGCCTCCACTTGAAAGCAATTACTAAAGTATCCATCCCTCATACATAAGAAGACAATTAGCTTCCTCTTCAACTGTGATGACAGAACATAACACACCTACCTATATATTTAAGAAAGTTTTATTTTTATATGTAACTGGAGTCATTTAGATGCCATTCTCAGCTGCAATATGCATTTCATCAAGGTAAGAAAAAAAATTAATGCTACTCATTCTTAAGCATTTCCTTGCTTTTTTAATCATTTAACAGACTTTGATGCCAATCTATGTTATATTTGCATAGATTAATAATAATAATCTTCAAATTACCCTATAACTTAGTAGATTGCTGGGTATCATGGAATGAAAGCACTGATAGTGCCTATCCTGAATCCGTTATAAAAATTAAGGATGTGGAATTAAATACTAAACATTTCAAATATCTCAGCATATGGATCAGTTATAACAAATTAAGCATAGGAGAAGAGGAACATAGAATAGGCTGTGCTAAGGGTAGTTTTGCCCAACACCACCAATTGCTGCAAAACCAAAACCTCAACCTGAAAACTAGAGTTATGTTCTTAAATAGCCTTGTCAGATCAATGGATATATCCTGCATAGCACCAAACCTGTTCAGAAATATCTATACTATCAGCTAGATACAACTGTTTCCTAAGATAAATAATGAAAAAAAGGCTTTGAGTGTATTGGCAAAGATCATCCTTCTTTGAACATTGTAGACTGGTGCTACACAACTGTATGAAATAACAGAAACTACATCACTTGAGGACTACCAACAGTAGCAACAACAAAAATGCATAGCACTTGTAACTCAAGTAGTTAATAATAACATAATCAGGATGTTAAAATTCACACCACTTGAAATAAAAGGGTCAGAAAGAAATTCCCATCAATACTGGAATGAGTGATAACAGTTACTGGACTTGAGAAACCTGTTTTCCTAAAAAAATTGTTTTAAGAGAAAGATTTTATAAATTTCAACTGAAAGCAGTACTAGCTGATCAGTCATTGAATATCAAATGTTTCTTTGTAGGGAAATAGCTAATATTACCATTACCATTCTGGGTACGCGATAGCTTTTCTGTGATCAATGGAGGTTACTTTGCAATATCTACCTTCTCTTCAATTAACATGCAACAAGTTGCACTTGATTACATGGTATTAGCAGCAGGGAGTAATTCTTGACCTGTTTTGAGATGTGCACTTATGCCTTTCCCAAAGGAATTAGGAAAAGCAAAATACCTTGGCTGAAAATTTAATTTGATTTGTTGGGGTTTTTTTCCCATGCAATTAAACATTAAGCCCCTCTAAAGGCAATATGGTAAATATGAAAATGCGAATGACTTTTCTTTATCTGGCCTGAAAAACTTGTTTCTCTTGTAATAAATGTAGATATATCAGAACAATAATTATTTATTTAAATATATATTTATTTATTAATGAAGAACTACTGATATTAAAACTGCATTCTAAGAAATCTGGTCTGTATAGAAAATGGTAGAAAATTAAAAATTATAATATACTTCCATTGTCCCTTAATTGTTGTTACATTTGCATAGATATTCCATATACCAAATGCAACAATTCTCCCCACAATTATAGTTACATTTAAAAATGTCACAACTATTATTATAACTACTATTATAATTATACATGGGATAAAGTTACCTCCTGCTTATAGGCTCCATTGAACAAGTCTGCATGATAGTGATTGTGACATTGTCCCAACATCATATGTGGCTCAAACTGGTGTTTGGTGAACTGCAGTTGTCATTCTGTAGTGGGTCACGTTGACTATCTTTAGGCCAATACCCCAAAGTCGCACACTTAATTTCTTGATGAAAGTCAAAATCAATCTTTTCCCCAGGCTAACGGTTTTCTTGTAACAATAAATAGCACAATGCAATGGAGTTTGTATTGGCCAATTTTATTGTCCCCAGCAGTTAAATGTTGATGACTATTTGTCAGTGATGGAGATGGTACAGTGAATGAGAGAACTTTACTGCTATGGCCTTTTTCCAGGACATCTGCTTGCTGTTCAGCAATTTTAGAGGATGAAACTTGTGATTTTTTTTATTTATTTATTTTTTTATTTATTTTTCTTAATTTATTTATTTTTATTGAGAAATCTCACTACCTTGTTAATTGCTGATTAGTCAATTTATGGTCCAATGAATAGTCACTATTTTTTTTTTTTTTTTTGTACTTGCAGCCATCAACTTGTCCTATCATATATTGTATTTCAGAAATGCAATACATTTCCTACAACTGGTCTCCTTTTTCTAATCTTTAACCTGTTTTTTTCTCTTTTACGCACACACACACACAGTTGCAAGGTGACACCACATCAGTATCTCTTGTGGAGCCAGTGACATGAATGTCTGTGTGGTGGATCTGGTACCACGCGTTTAAAATGTTAAACATTAATGCATAATTTGTTTTTAATCAATTTTTGGAAAATCTGCACTTATCAGAAAGTTGTAAAAGTTTCTATTTCTTGGCAACCCAATTAATGAAGTTGTCTTTAGAGGGATAAAAATAAAACATTTTGAAATAATAAAAACTGAACCACAAGGGTCTCTGTATATATAGTTCTTCTGATAATGTTTTATTATGTAATCTTAATGCAAAAAGATGCACTGTAATTTCTTTGGGAATTTCCTCATTGAAATATAATGAAACATGAATTTTATTATCATTATTATTTTCTCCTGTTCTCGGTTGAAGTAAGACTTCATGTTTGAATAACAAGATGAGTGAGAAAGATCTTTTTGTTATGTTTTTCTGATGACTAATTCTCTTGAATTGAATATTTAGCCTTGACACCTATTCAGCAGTCAGAGGAGTAGGGTGTGGGGGAGTTGCTGTAAAGTTCTCAGTCGAGCCAAGAAGCCCTTTTAAAATAAATTCTGATTACTCATTTGACCATTCTTTTTTTTTTAAATTTTATTAACACAATCATGATTGTTTTTTTTTTTTTCATGTACACATCTAATACCATAATCTCTAATTATGTAATTATTGATAACTGTGATATGATACATTTCTTTGCTTGAATTGGAAAGAAAAAACTGTCAATTTATGATAAGACTTGAGGCAGTTGCTTCTGTGAAATAAATTATAATTCTTGCTGCATCATCTCCTGTCACTTATGTTAATGTCCCATCACCAGTCATTCTGACCAAGTCTGGTTCTGTTAGCAACATATCATGATATTTAGTTGGGGAATATATCAATTTTCTTATTTTTATGATTTATAACTTCTGTATACCTTGCTATTTAAAAAGGAGGTCAATAGTTCAATAGCTTTGTCTGCTTTTTGATACCATTCTTTGTCAGCCAATATGGCCCTCTTGGGTTGGGTGTTACTTTTTATTGAATTTAAAGTCAATTTTTATTCTATTCAAGCAGAGAGTTGCTTAACTTCCATTATTTAATTTTTCCCATATTGTGATAGGGATTACCTATAAAATATATTTGTACTACTTTGTTATTTCAAATGTTTACAAGCATTAGCTAAGAAGGCTCAAGCTTATCCTTAAATTAAAAGAAGACAAACGTTGGTGGGACATTCTTGAATGTAGAATTTTATGCTAATACTTTTAGAAAATGAACATTCAAATTCTCTTGAGTATAAATATAAACATGTACATTTGAATCCATAAAAGTTGTGAATAAAACTCTGTTGTCTTGAAGCTTTCCAAACATTTAGTTATTAAACATGTATGTAATGATTTATTTAAATAAATAGAATTAGTTAAAAAAATAAAGCAAAATTTTACATTTTCCCTTTGGAATTATTCTACTTAGGCAAAAAATCATTGATGTATTCTTCAATAGTATCCTAATTCTTGTAAAGAAGAGTTCTGGACACTTTAAAAAAAAAAAAAAAAAAAAAAGTGGCAGTCTGCCTGGAAGTGGTCTAGTAAATTGGCAAGATGTAATAAAATCTTCAGTTTGTATGTCAGGTCACTCTAAAAGTGTTACTGGTCCCATGTAACCCAGTATGACTTGCCACATGGTTGGGTTACTGGTGACTAAACAGGCTTTTCTAGTGAAGAGGGTGGCGAGAGACTTAGCAGGATTAAAAATAAGATCTGTCAAAGGGTGGATAAAACTTTGTGTAGGATCAATGGCCATCTAGTACAATGGTTTGGGGAAGGTAGACTGGGCTCACTAGTGATGTATGCAATCAGTGTAGTGCTGACATGGTATGACTGTCTAGATAGCTTCCTAGGCTGTAGTCAACAGCCAGGGTAGAGGTTTCCCTTGATAGAATCATCAGTCATGTGTCCCTGACCAAATCAAGTCTTCAAGTTGGAGGATATTGATTGTAGTTTAACCTGAAAAGGAATAGGCTCTGCCAAAACACACTACACATGAATGACTACCTCTTTGGCTTTCAACCTAGATACGTGAAGGGAACTAGACGGGTTCTCAGCTACACAGAAACCCTATCACAATACTCAGTTATGGAACTGATGATGATAATTTTCAACTTCAATTTTAGTAATCATTATTTTCTAGGTATTTTTATGCAATTATAACTCCTTTCCTTATTTGGCAATAAAAAGTGGTCGTCTGTTTGCGGGTAGGGGAAGTAGATTGGATGAATAGGTAGGGGTACAATAAAGTCTTCATCTCCAACTGACTCAATAAGTACCTTTTATTTTTTTTTTCTTTTCAACATAAAGACAGCAAAATTAAACCCATTCTTTTCTCCATTTGTTTGAATTTTGAATGTTGGTCTCCATATCTGTGCATTATGTTTGAAGAAAGTGTCAGTGTCCATTTCCCACCAAATGCTTACTGTAACCTTCCAGAGGTAAGTAGTTTGGTTAATAGTTTTAAATTTTCATCAACATTCAGCCATTATTTAAATATCAGCTTCCACAAAATTTATTTTCAACAAAAGTGTTAATACAATTTAAAGAAGGATAAATTTCATATGTCAAGCATGATTATTAATGCAACCTTCTATAGCTTTTTTTTCCCTACTCGTTCAAATCAAACCCATTTAGCAAGCATTTTTTTCTTGCTAATTGCTCTTAAATGAGATGTTTCCCATCAATATATTGAGGTTTTCTGTAACTTCTCAGATTTTCAGCTCATTTTCTACCACAGCTCTCAAATCTTCATAATTACTTGTTTAACTGACTTCTCTCTTGCTTTTCTAGACTGAAATCTTGACTTATATGAATTTTTTTCATTCTTTAGTAGCACTGTCCTAACAGCCTCACCTTTGTTATGGCTTAGCTAGAATTTAATAAGTTGGAAATGAGATCAGTTTAAAAAAATGATATAAACATGTTGCAAGGAGAATTACTGTTAAATGAATTTCTAACTATTTCTCTAAATCTGAAATATACATCGTTCCATTATAGCCTTGCTTGAACTGATAAAAATCACAAATTGAGAGGCTTTTAAGATTTGCCAAAATATAATGAAAAATTTTTAGGAATTAATTTTTTTTTTTCTGAATAACCAACTTGTTCAGAAATATTGTAATTTCCTGGTGTGATGGATGCATTGCAAAAAGGAACATAAAATTAAGGGTAAAAAGAACAAAAAATATCTAACTTTCAGTGCCTGGAAATGCAGTAATAAAGATATAATTTTTTTTTTTTTTTTTTTAAAAGACTATTAAAAACGTCAAACTCAGTAATGTTATATATGTAATTTGAAATGATGAAATGGCTATTTTTGCATATGGACGACATTGAAAAGTGATGATAGGAATTCAAGTAAAAATAGAAAAAAATGGATTTCTTTCTTTTTTTTTTTTTTTTTTTTTTTTTTAGATATTATATTTTAAATAGAGAAAGGAATCCCTAAAATGATGTGCTTCTTAACTGAATGGGTGTGGTATAAGATGGTTTGGGTTTGAGACTCACTTTTTGTTACTTACAATGCTGTTGAAAAATTCTGTTATTAGACTGAGAATTTTTCAACAAATCTGACTAAATATAACTTTTTTTTTTCTTTTTTTTTTATACTCCTTTTTTGGTCACATTTAGATCTTTTTACCGCCCTGTATATATTTTATAGTTGTGTAGGATAGGTCTTCATGAAATCATTTCAGTTGTCATTTTTTATTAATTTACTCACATCAGTGTTTATTGAAGATAAAACCTAAAATTGTTTTGAATAATTTCAGAATATGCTGAGTTTGTGCACTGCAAAGGCAAGAAATTCTCAGACTTTGATCTGGTTCGTAAAGAGATCGAAGATGAAACTGACAGAGTGACTGGCGGTAACAAAGGAATCAGTAACATTCCAATCAACCTCAGAGTTTATTCTCCACACGGTAACTAAGTGTTTTGTTCATTTCTAACCATACACTAGCCATTACTGTTACATATTGATCTCACTCCTATCTTTTTCTTCATTTTTTTTTTCATGTTTGTGGTAATTTATCTAGTATTGTCTTTTAGTAATATTTATTTTTATTTGCAGCTATTTTTACTTTTTTATATAGAAAATAATATTAATATTTTGTAAAATGTTTGAAATGACTTATATAATCAAATAAAAAAAAAAATATAATTATTGAAAAATATTAGTTTTGCAGACGAAAGCTTCATCTTAGATCCAAGGGAGATAATCGTTGGCTTATTTGAAATGAGAATAATAATGTAACATTTTTTCCAGATAATAATGTTGAAGGTTGAATGAAGAGTTAATTTGAGTTACCCGTCACAAATCATTGTGTATGACTGACTATTGTGTTATATATTTTAAATGAATAACTGCAAAAACGAAATTCTTTTATTTCATATTTGTATCATTGGATGGCTTCATGTTTTCATTACAGAAATATTTAAGACTTTAGCATGAAATTTTAAAAAAATTATTCTACAGAGAAATGAAAATTAAGCATTGAGCAATGGTTCTTGTTTTTGTTTACTTTTGTTATAGTAATAGAATTGCATTTTCATATGAGCATTCAATAAATCAATATTTTGTAGCAATGGACAGTGATTTAGTAGCACGCTAGAAATTGAAGTATAACTAATGATTACTAATTTGTATTTTTTATATTCTAATCATTTCTAATATTTAAAGTGAAATTTTAAGTCATTTTAATACATTGTTAGTTTTTCAGTTATCTTTTTAAACAATATTTTTTTCTTCAAAATTTCTGTGTAGTTAACATTGTCTTTGGTTCAAACCAAAGAATAATCTCAGTTTTTGTGGATGAAAACATTAAAAATTGAAGATTGTGAGTTTCAACAATAAAAATACTAGTACTTCCTTAGTTTGAATGTAATTTGATGTATAAAGTAGACCCAATATAGTTGATTTGTTTTAAAATTGACTTCATTTTTTTTTTTTTTATATATATATATTTAAAAAGAAAAAAATAATGCAACATGTGAGAAATCTGGTTGCTGAATTATTGACTAAATTCTCTTTGTATTAGATATAAAGTGGAGAATTATTTTTCTTTGATTTTTTTTTTTTTTATTTGATAAATGATTATCTCTTACCATCACAGTTTATATAAGAAAGAGTGCCCCTCCCACATCCGTGTCTATTTAGTTGTCTCTGAGAAAACTTAGGAAGCATTGCAGACATTCACTTGAGTTGGTATCTTAGGTATTACTTTTGGCAATTAATTTCATCATTCAGGCTAAACTCTTTTCAAATGATGGCTGTTTGATTCAAACAGTTACATGATTTATTTTAATTTAATAGGTTGGACATATAATAATAATGTCCTGTCAGTAGCACTTGTATTAATTTTTGACTCTTGAAGACACTTTTTCTTGTGATCTTTCTTATTGATCTATATGTTGTGTATATAAATTGAGTATGAAAATTGGCTCCAACAAATGTGAGGTGAAAACAATAGCAAAATTCAAATGAAACTTTTCAGTGCTATTTTTACTATAGTGATTTTCGTTCATAAAAATAAAAGCATGTGAATAGTGTTCGCCTTCTTTCACCAAGAGTAGACTATTCTAAATTCTTTTGTGGGTGGGACAGGGATTTCATTTTTATATATACCATTTTTATCAGGTGATTTTTTTTTAGGTTTTCTGTATGCTGGTTAAAGTATGAATTCCATAGATTAACTGATTAAAGATATTGATTGTTGGAGGTGGGAGATAAGTTATATCTTACTTGTACTTCAAGGGCTGTTATTTTGGGGAAACAAGATTAGGAGTAATCTTCTAGATTTAAACTAATTCTACTGTTAATTAGTTGTGACAGTATGAGTATATCCAAGTTTTTTTTATTAAGGATACCTAAGAATGAAAAGGGTGTGGAATTTAAAAAAAAAAAAAAAAACTTAAATAACAATTCAAGATTGGGGAGGGAAAAGTTGCAGTGGGGTGTGATAATCAATAGAAAGTTTGTAATAAAGAATCAAAGTTGGGTCATATATACCATTGGAGGGTGGAGACCAAAAGGTGGTTATTGTATCCTCAGATTTAATATTTTGTAAAAGTTTTTATTTTTTTAGCAAAGCATAGGGAATAAATAATCAATATATTTTGAATTTGTATTCACTCTGTTCAAATGCTACATGAACTGTTGAAGTTTTGGCATCTTTCAAAATATGCTTTTAGTATTTGCTGTGGCACTCTATATGTAATTGTTACAGTGAATGAAAATTTTGGTGGATTTGCTTAATAAATCTTATCAGAAAATTTGTAATATATACTATAAGGAAATAATTTCCAATGAATTTTTATATGTTTGGTTGTATCACTCTATAAAATAGCCATATTTACATTTTAACATATTTCCTATAGCTTACGACCACATCACATTGAAACTGGTTCCCATACATTCACCAAAGTTAAGCAATGACAATCCTGGACAGTAGATGGGTAACTGTTTGGGAATACCAGGTGCTGTAAGCTTGGATATCTCTGTGATGTAATGAATAATGGCTTAATCAGTGAGGCGAGTTCCAATTCCAATTGGGTTCATTATATTCATTTATGCACAAATAACCCTGGGGAAAAAGTAAAAAAAAAAAAAAAATTACAATCTGAAAATATTTTCTGGTTTTAAGTGTTAAGCCAGAGAAAACGAATTAATCAACATATCTTCTATGTATAAATGTCACTGATCTGTTTATAGTTTGTCACTTAGCTGATTGATGTTACCTTCATCATTCTGAAACCAGAGTTTCATAGGCAAACATGTCCATTTACTCTTCAGAGGGTATCAGCAATTTATATAATAAGTGAATATAAACTAAATAATGAGACATTAGCAACTGTATATGCATGTATACACAGATAAGCAAATAAATATTTATTTAATTTATGTGGCAAACAAAACTGTGCTCAATGTAGTTAAACAGAGCTATGAAATATATATATATATATATATATATATATATATATATATATATATATATATATATATATATATATATATAGTTTATGAAAAACTAGGTAATCCATATGGGTAAACCTAAGGAAATCCAAAGAGAGCTCAACTTATTTTATAAGGAGCTAATATTTAGTTTATGAAAAACTATGTTAATTTACATATGTTTAATACGGCCCATGAAAAATGTGTAAATTTTCTTTTTATTTTTTGTTTGGAAGTAAAGTTTGATGATCCGCAGTGGTGAAATAATTTATTACATGGAACCTTAAAGTGGTCTGTTTTTATTTAAAATATATATATATATAAAATGTGTGTGTGTATGTTAGGGTTTTTATGGTTATTTTTTTTCCCTTAGCTGTTTTTCTGTTGTTTTGAAAATACTTGCACAGAGACAAACATTGGCAACAAAACAAAAAAACAAAACCATTTTCAATACTAAACTGCTTTTCACAAATTCCATCTTACATGGTTAGTTTGAATACTTCATATCAATCATTTTATCATTTATCTGTAATAATCTTGAGTGAGTGAAAATGCTGATGGAATAGTCCCTTCTTTGAGTTATTTATATAACTAAAAATAGAACAATATGAACAAAATTTAGGGAGACTTTTTGTTGTAGCTGATAGAAAAAATATTTGAATAATTAAAAGAAATATTTTGAAGTTTCTTTGAAAAAGAGCAGCTTATTTTCTTTCCCTTGTTACAGTGCTCAACTTAACCCTGATTGATTTACCTGGCATGACCAAAGTGGCCGTTGGTGACCAACCTGCTGATATTGAACAGCAAATTAGGAACATGTTGTTGGAGTTCATTACTAAAGAAAATTGCCTTATCCTAGCTGTCTCGCCAGCCAATAGTGATTTGGCAAACTCAGATGCTTTGAAAATTGCAAAGGAGGTTGACCCACAAGGTAAGTAATTAGAATCCTTCTTCAGTTGGCTTCTATTTTATTTACTTTTTATCAAAATATTCCTATGGATGTATTTGTTTCGACAGCACATATACTAAAATATTTCCTGGGATAAGCTAGTACAGATTGTTTGAGTAATGAGACAGGTATCTTGGTGATACCTACTTAGTAAGGTCTAAAAATAATGTGCACATAAAGGTGGTCTATAGAGACCAAATTTAAAAGAAAAAAGAGGGGAAGTGTTTTATTCCACTCATTTGTGTCCAAATAGAAGAAAATAGGCCAACTTTTTGAAAATTTTTCAAAATTGGGATGGAGCTGGACTGAAACATATCCAGGCCTGCCCAGAGCCCCCCCCCCCCAATCACTAAAAATGACAACGTATTCCAAATAACATCAATATTCCCCAACAAATCTTCATCAAAATGATTCAAATGATGAAATTCATGGTTCTATGTACACAATATTGAGTCTACACATTAATTTCCAAAACAATATGGTATTTTTGGAGCTGAAATAGACCAAATTTCAGGAAAAAAACAGGGAACAAAATTGACTATTTTGAATTGGAATCACTGAATACTTCATTATTACATTCTGAGACATGCTATCAGACTGGTATTCTACTGACATATCTTAAAACAATAAAATATTATATATTAAGTCTTACATGTCATAACTCCTTTAAAAAGGCTTGAAAATGGAGGAATTTGGTGAAAATCTGCTAAAATTGGTCTGAATTGCCGAAAATTCAGAAAATAACATATAATGTCCAATGATAGAACCTACTTCTATGAAGTTGTTTAGCTGTGGTTAAAAAAAGGTATAAAAATGGTCCAAATTTCTAAACAAATATCAACATGAAGCACAAGCTTGTCAACACATTAACAGTATAATGATTTAAATAACTCATTGATAACATCATTATGTAAAACAAATACAGGTTGCATGGAAGAATTTGAATCTTTAGCATCTTCTGTTGATCTACTTTGGCTGGGTATCGCCACAGTTTCTTCATCTTGTCATTTGGCATGCATTCAAGGGAGTCAATCAGATATTCATCTGTGCCAATTTTTTCTCGAGTCATACCAACACACCAGTCTCATCCATTATTGTTGTCCCAAATGGCCACATATGGTTCATTCATAGCAATTTCGTCTTCTTCATTGGGTTGAACAGACTCATCAACATCCTGAGATGTTGATGAATCTTCAATTCATTGAGCATGGTCTCTACATCTGGGAATGTGGCACCAATATCACAATCAATTTTATGTTTACCTGACATCAGGATCCCCAAGTTTACCTTCATTTGCACCAGAGTCATATTGTTCGCTTTGTACAAATCAGGGTATTCTCTGCAATCTTTTCTACTCATACTTTTTCAGAGAACTATTTAATTCCTCAACATCTTTTCTTCTCATTTTTAACTGCTTTCATACCTTCTTCAATCTCTTCTACTGATATCAATGGACCATTGTGAGCTTTGCATTCATGTACAATAGCATTCTGACATTTATCCTGTCGAATAGACATTTCTTTCCTTCCGACAAGCTTGTCCTTGGTGATTTCCTCTTGACTACTGAACCATTTTCTTTCTTCATCCAACAGTTTTGCTATTTTCTTAGTCTCGTTGTCAATGGTAATTACTGGGGCCTGCTATAGTGTCATGTCATCCCTCATGCCTTTTGCAGTAAAGTTACGATTCAGACAAGATGCTGCCTGAATTGCTACCTTGTCCATATGTAAAAGATCTCTCTCACAAATGAGGTTGTGTGAAGGGAATATCGTGGCTTTTCACCTTCAATGTTGAAACCGAACTCCCAGCTACGCTGTTGCTGCAAATCAATTGCTGCTTGTTTGCAAAAACGGTCCAAGATATATATCTCTAATTTTGATGTAGGTTGCTTCACATCAAATGAATAATCAACTGTATACGTTTTCAAAGTGTCCATATTTGAATATCTCGGGCCATTATAAAGAGAAGGAAGACTGGTCAAGAGGGTGACTCCAACTCACATGTTTAAAAATCTGTCTATTTTTGCTTAAGACATCAAAAATATTTTTCTAATTTCTGTGTAAGCTTTGTAGAAACAACATAACCATATAATCAATCATTTGAATCAAAATCAGCAAGGTTTGTGGCTTGTTTTTAAAGTTTTGTGGAATATGTTGGCATTTTTAGTGATTGGGGGTGGGGGGCGATGACTAGGCAGGTCTGAGTAACTTTCAGTCCAGCTCCATCCCAATTTTCAAAAAGTTGACCCATTTGAACACAAATGAATGGAATAAAACACTTCCCACTTTTTTTAGAAAAATTTGGTCTCTATAGCCCACCCCCAATAAAAGAGATAACAATTTTTAATTGGGTTGTTTCTGGGTGGCATTTGTCAATTTCAATCAAGAATGAACTGAGCAGAAATTTGCCAAACCCTGAATTTTGTACTCCATCATATTCTAATACTTTTGGATGAAGGAATTTCTTAATTCAAGTTCTACATCTCGGTCTTAATTTTTACCTTAAAATGTTTGTCTTGCATATATGAACTGACAAAAAGAAAGGTCTTATTTGCTTAACATTATCTGAAAATTTGAATATAAATTGTTGAAGTAATTTTAACTTTCAGAAGTCATTTTTTCTGTTATGTTATTTTTTTTTTATTTTTTTTTTAGATATCACATTATCAGATATAGAATTTTTTTTTAAAGCATTGTCTTCACCTGTCAGTTTTCTTTGTGTTTTGTGTTCTTTTTGGTTTTTTAATATTTTGGATTATTATTAAGTTTGATAAGATTTTATTGATGTAGAGTTTGTTTCTTGTATTTGTTTCATAGTTTTTGTAATAAAGTATTTTTGTATTATTTTTTTATATACAGAAATGAAAATATGTAAAAATTACTAAAATTTAATGTATTGTGAGGTGAACAGAAGTTTTGTCAAAAAGTGCTCAATAGATAACTAGAGCAACAATAGGACTCATTGACCCTGATGAACTTTGTATCTATGAAACTGAAGTTGATTAAGAGATAAGTCAGCTGAACTTTGATTAATTTGTAACTATATATATATATATATATAAGACATACATCTTCCAGTGTGTATTTGCCTATAACATACAGGCCAAATTTCTGACATTTACAACTCTTTCTTGCTTTGTGGAAAGACCATTAAACAGCACCATGTATGTTCAGACTCCTGCAACAGGAAGGCAATGTACTGTTAGTTCACCTGATGTTTGTGCTACTCAATCTGCTCTGCAATATAATCAGCAACTTCTCTGCCTGGCATGATCACCAGACCCATTCCCTCATTAAACATGATGGGGTGATGGCTGGCTTATTAGCGTTCACCCACCTACAACTCTGATTGCATTGATAGATACGAGACATGTGGCATAATGTATTGAACAATGGTATTTGCTATCTTAACACTGAACAAGGATATACAGTATACTTGTATGGGGTCTGAGTATTGATATGCCCCTTTTATTTTGGGACTTGCACATCTAAGGATCTGCAAATGTGTGAATTTACTGCTATAATACCTGTATGTTTAATCACTTGTAAATTGAAATATGTATTCAGAGTGAGGCTTTTTTTTTTTTTTTTCCTGCCAGTGTATAATATGTTGCGTCATCACGTGCTGGTTGCCATTCGACAAACATTATCACCAACAATTTCCCTATATTTATAAATCCTTTAGCTGATGGTTATTGGTTTGCCAAGATCAAATGACACCTACAGCAATACTTTTGTCTTAGTGCCATGACTTTCATCTCCACTCCCTTGTCCTGAAAATCCTATTTCTGTGCTTGGTGGAGGTTACCTGACACTTCTCTTTCACCTTTTAATTTTAGTATTTCCTTTCTCTTGGAACTTTTCCTTTCTTTCACTTTTATTTCTCTTCCTACACCTTTCCTCTAACCTTTACTTTCTCCCCCCCCCCCGGGCCTTCAAGCTATTAAGCCTGTCGGAAAGTGTGGGTGGTATGTTGCATAAGTAATGCAGTAGCAGCATCAGCCTAAGATGAATGTGTGCACTGCCACACATGCACTTGCATTTAATCTTGAATCCTTTCCTTCTTTCCCTGCGTCTTGCTATGGATTTACACTTTGCCGACACTTTCTTAATATAGAAGAAAAGCACACTTAAACAATATAAGCACGGATTGCTCTTGTGTTATCAAATTATGATCAACATGAGTGTTAATGATGATCAAGGAATATGCAAGTGTAAGATAGTTGATTTAAAAAGGCTGATCTCAAGGTAGTTATAAGAACAACAAAGAGTAATGTGTGTTAATGATATGACATCTGAAATGATATTAAATTAGTTTTAACCTGTGAAAATTTCATGGTTTTTCTATTTGAAATTTCTGATGAATCTTAATTCTTTAGTTAATGATTGAATAAGTTCTGGACGTGTGTTCTACAACAATAAAATACCCATAGAAATTCTTTAATAAAATATTGCAATAACAATCATAAATATGAATGCTGGTCATTATAGAAGTAAGGAGGTACAAATGAAAAGATTTAAAATTGTCAACTTTTTTTTCCATTTCACTGAAACTGACATTAAACACTTCTATCTTCCCTTTTTTCTTTCATTTTCTCATTGAAACCAAGTAATGTCTTTGTCTTCTCAAGTGATCAAAATGGAGTTGTCCATTATTTATGAGGTATTGGCAGGGTGTAATGGTTGTGCAAACTAACAAAGGGAGGGGCAAGCACAGTTATTTATGATAATTCATCATTATGAAATTATTTCATGAAAAATAAAATGGAAGATGTATGATTGTCATGTGTTCATAATTATATATCATTTATAACAGTGATGAACTAAATAATAAAATATATAGCCAGCCAGCAGATTCTGTCATTGTGGATGTCAGCTGCCTTCTAATACAATGGGGGATAGACTGGGCTCTATATCTATGTATATAGACAGTGCAGTGATAACATGGGTGGAGGGCTTCCTAGACTGAAGTCAATAACCAGGGCAGAATCAGTGACCACATGTCTGTTTGACTAAAGGGAGCCTTCTAGTTAGAGGATATTAGTTGTGGTTTAACCTGGAAAGGAATGGGCTCTGTCAGGTTAACTTGCCCAAGACATGCTACACATAAATGAATACTTCTCTGCTTTTCAACTCTGGTATATGGAAAGAACTAGTGAGATGCTCAGCTGTGCAGTGGCCCTATGACCACACCCCATCATGGGACTGATGATTATGAAGAATTTATATATAAAAGGAATAATCACACATATTATTATTATTATTATTATTATAGTAAAGGAAATGCATTCTTTAATTTGCCAAGAACCTTCAGGACTTGAGGGTTAATGACTCTCCCCAACTTTCTGATTTTTGTTGTTCAAAGTAACTTTTAGTCCTTTTCAATCTCTTTTTGTCTCACTGCTGGCATCTATTCACACAAATTCATTAATTAGGTTACTTATTCTTTCTTCCATCTTGTGAGTGTTAAATTCTCTTTCCTATTTATGAGTCCCAGAAATCTCAACTGTCTTTTTGATTGTAAATGTAAGTTTCTTTGTAGTTCTTATTTTCCTGAAAACCTATCACTCACAAATTCTGTCCATTGTATTCTTAGTGTTCATTACTAGAACCACATGTCACATTCAAGCTTCTTCATCTGTGAATAAATTGTCCCACATTCACTGCTATATACTGCATAGCAGTTCAAGAACTCTTTTCTTTGTTTAAAAGATGGCAGTTTAAACTGATACCTTCTCCTCCCTTATTAATACTGTCATGTAGCTTCCCTGTGCCTTTTCTATAAATACTTTCATGGTAATTTTTCTGATGAACTTTCCTCTCTGGTGTCTAAACTTTATGAATTTAAGCACAGTACTAGATTAACAGCTAGGTCTCATCATTTTACAGTTGAAATGGCTAGATGTAACCATAAATTCTATACAGACAGTTTATTCTATCACACTTTTCAATTGTGAAAATGTCTTCTGACTTCTTGTTTCCCAGTCAACTTTGATTTTCAAAAATTTAAATGTAATGTCAATAGTTATCCTTTGTTTTAATTTTTGTTCTTTTATTGTTCTCAATAGCATATTTTTTTCTCTCATATTCTCTAACCATCAGTTCCCTTATTTCTTAGTGGCTTTATTGTTTGCTTGGTGTGAAATTATTAAAAATAAAAAAAAAATTCATAATTTCTAAATATAAAATTGGAAAAGTGCAGATTTCACTAAAATTTATTATAAAGTTATCATATTTTAATTTGAAATCAAGAAATTATGAACTTTAAGCAAAATGGTCACAATATATGGACAAAAAAAAAGATGGCAGTTTGAGCTGATGCTAGGAGAATGTGTTATAATCTGAGAGTGAAAAATGACTTCTGTTCGTTTTCTTTGTTTAGAAATAATGGGTCACCTTTATTTGCTAGAAACTTTACATAGTAACAGTCTTAATTGTTTAAGCTCATCTATAAGTATTGGTTAGTTTAGAGCTTTTTTACTGGATCTCCACTGCTCAGAGTGTATTGGTTACCTTGGATACATCATTCTTTAGAATGCATCATTCCTATTGCAAAGAGAATTACATTTTAATGGGCCATTTTGGTTGCATAAGTAATAACATGGCTTCTTCATCTGAAGAAGCCATGTTATAGAATTCTTCTTGCAGGTAGATGTTGATTCATCAACAATACAGGTTTCTTTATTTCCTATCAGGATGTAAACAAACATGTCCCTCTGTATCTTCAGGTTAAAAAAAAACTGATAAATTGTCTTATTTATAAGAGATTATTTGATGGTGCATCTATTATTATAGTTCCATGATTACAAGGTTGTTTCCTCAACTATTTTGCTTGTGTAGTGAGTTTGTTGATCACCATTGTGTGTCTCACTACTGTGGCTTTTTGCCAAACAAAATCAACCTTCATATTTGCTTAACTAATATCTTTATCAAATAAAAATTAAGAAAACAAATTTGTTTCTTATTTAACTTTATTATTAACTTTATTGAACAATATCTTTATCAATTTTATTTTATCTTATCTTTCAACCAACTTTAGAATTCAGTGTTTCCAGAACTCAAAGAACTCAATATGCCTTTTGCAATTTTTCAGAATATAGATTTTTTTTTCTCTGTTTAAAAGAATTTTATAAACATTTAAATAAATGATCATTTGAAGATGCAGTGAGCTACTCATATACGAATGGTTCACTAAATGAATAAATTCAATAGCAAGTAGTTTCTCTGAACTGAAGAAAATATGTGTAACAATCTGAAATTTGAACTATGAACCATGAATAAGCTATATATACTTACAAGTGGCTTGGAGCATCCTCAACACCAACTTGGCCTCCATATTGTGCTTGTAAGCTGTGGAATTGCAAATTTTCATGTTTTATTTTGAAAATAATATTTTTTATTGCAAACATAGCCATAGATCAACAGAATGAAGTGAAAAATCAATCAATTATTAGAAATTAAGAAATAATTTCTAAATATAAAATTGGAACAAGTGCTAACAAACTTTGTGCAGAGTATGGAATGGTGAAATCAAGAATCTTCATAATACTAAAAAAAACAAAAGCAAGAATGAATTAAAAAAAAAAAAAAAAAAAAAAACGTGGCTAAGGAAATAACCAAAATCATGTAGCAATTTTATTGAAGAGATGGAAAAATTTCATTTTTGGTATGAATTGAAGAAAAAGAAATTTCTGATAAGTGAATCAATCATGCAAAGGCCAAACTGTTGTTTGATAACCTTAGAGCTAATATCGTTCTGTGAAATTTTCTTGCTTTAATTTACTTCTTTATTCATTTTCATTTGTTCTTTTTATGTATATACAAGGTGTAACTGAAATACCATTCTACATAATGGTAAGACATTAGTAGCAATGGTACCTTCATGTAGGTACCATTATGTGGTTGGTATTTTTGTCGCAACCTGTATTTACTTTTTAATTCGTATATTTTCCTTTTTTTTATATATACGTTTTTATTTGGAGTTTGGATGTGGCTTTTTCAACCCAAGCAAAGCAATAAAACCACCAAGACACAAGGAGTTAATGAGTGTGAAAGAAAAAGAAAATATTAATGAGTGAGAAACAAAAATGGAATCAAGAACCCCTATTTATATCTATTTCATTTTTTTTTTTTTTTTTTTTTTTTTTTTTACAGTAAGGTTTACTCTGTACTAGACCTGGAGGCAAGTAGAGGTTTATGTTAAGGAGCACTTTATACAGATAGGAATGGAAGATAATGGTTAACTCTAGACTTGAACAGGTTAAAATTGTAGTGATCTTGGGAGTCGGTTCCACATAGTGATTTGTGGGAAGAAGCTGTTCAAGTGGAACTTTCTTCTCACCAATGGCATACAGAGAGAATGTGGGTGGTTTGCTACAATGTCAATGTTATAGTGGGTCCTAGCTATGAAGATTAGGATTGGCAGAATTATGTTTAAATTAAGAGTTGCACATGGAATGATCCAGTAGGTTTATATTAATTTTGTGGAAGCCACACATCAAAGCAATTAACATAACCAAACTGTTACAAATGATCTATACTTGATTTGAATATTTTGACCATATTGCCATCACCTTTGCTGTATAATGTTGATTATTCACACACACACACACACACATATTATTGAAACCAACAGATTTCTTATTTTTCTCACCAAGTCAACATCTCAAGAGTGGCATATTTGAGACTTCTTTGCCCATGCACCTTAACTTTCTTTGTTGAACATACATCTGGCTTTTCCAGTGTTGTTCATACCAATGCAAAGCTGATCAGTTGGTAAAAAACTTTCTGAACGACCACATTGTATGTTTACACACAGGGGACTGACTGAGATCATTATTAAACTGAAGAAGTTCCTTCTAGGAACAAAATATATATATTTGTTTTAGTATAGGGCCACAATCCTGGAACAACCAGTGAAGAAACAAGCTCTAAACATGAGCAATAGACTGTGAAGCTTGTTAACGATTTCTCTACAGCAGGCAACAATGTCCTCAGATATTAATGAAATTTTAAAATGAAATTTTTTTTTTTTTTTTTTAAATCAATTCACCCCAAGCATGGCGATAATGCTACTAAGACTCAAGGAGCTACTGGGAGTGAAAAACAGAGAACAAGGAATAAACATCTACTCCTGTTCAAAAGACTGGGGAGGAGAGGCAAACCTTGAAGTTGTGATTTATTTTCTTTCAGCAGTGTTCTATTGATGATTATGATGTTAGTGACAATTTTTCTAATGTTGATTCTTAGTTATTTCTAACTTTTTTGTCAGGTATCCGAACTATTGGTGTCATCACCAAGCTGGACTTGATGGATGAAGGCACCGATGCTCGTGACATTCTGGAAAATCGTACTTTGCCCCTGCGCCGAGGTCAGTCTATCTCTTTATTTTGTTAGTTTTTGAGATTCTGACCTTTTTTTTTTTTTTTTTTTTTTTTTTGGGTGTAGGATTGTAATGTTGCCATTGTTTGTTGCAGGGTATATTGGTGTTGTGAACAGAAGTCAGAAGGACATTGATGGCAAAAAGGACATTCGATCTGCTTTGGCTGCAGAAAGAAAATTCTTTCTCAGTCACCAGTCATACAGGTTAGTCAGAATCGAGTCTATTTTTATATTTTCACACACACACACACTCTGCCAGATAATACACACCTATAATCATTTTAACATAAGGTAATATGAACTCACAGAAGACAGATTAAAAACAAAAATAAAATTGAGATGTGTATAATTTGTTTGATTTTTTTTTTTTTTTTTTAACATGATAATCATGATTTAATCATTTATGACCATTTCTTTTATTCTGAGGTTATCAGGGAATGTGTGTCAAACAGGAGTGTTTCAAGTTCAGTATCATACCAGTTATCTCTAACCCAAGGTCAGCAATAAACTAATCAAACTATACATTCTTCAGGGTTTATATATTTTTTTAAGATTCAATAGTGGTACTCTTGAAAAATTCCCTTCTAAGTTACTTTCTCTTTTGATAAGTGTGGCATTCTTTGGTTATAATATGCTTTATATTATGAAAAATATGAGAAAAAAAAAAAAAAATATATATATATATATATATATATATATATAATTATTCATGAAGGCACTAAGATCTTCCAAGAATATGCAATGTACTGGGCAAATGTCAAGCATGCAGCTAGGAAAGGCTTTGTTAGTCACAAGCGGGATCATACTGGTAAAGCTTGCACAAATTACAATCAGTACTATGCTGGAAATAACTTAACATGTAGGGTGTATCAGAAAACCTGCAGAAACTGCTCTTGTCTCTTTCATCACATGAAGGACCACAAGTAAGCTGAACAGACTTTGCCAAACAGAAGAGACTCTGTACAAAACAACTTAGTTTGCCACAATAAGCATTAATCAGATTTCTCAGAGATGGTTTTTAATAAAATTTTATTTAAAGTTTATATATATATATATATATATATATATATATATATATATAAATACAAAAATGCTACTTAACAAGCCAAATGCACAGGAAACCTGCTTAACCAATGAAAATAAAACAGTACAAAAATAAAAATATCAGAATTTTTTTTGTTAATATCTCATTCTCTTTTAATAAAAGTGAAACATATTAATAAATGCTTGCTATTTGTTCTTTATCTTAGAATTCTGTTGGATTCTGATCTATATTTGATCCCAACTTACATGTGTATCCACACACACACACACACACACATACACACAAACATTGGAAAGAGTATGGTTTGCCCCCAATATCAAAAAGAAAAAGATTTACCTGTGTATCACATGGAGGTTAATACTTTTAAGGTAAACAATCAAATCCCCTGATTAGTGGAGTTCATAGCCACAAAACTTTGAATCAGGAAAGCTAAGTTGAACATTTAATTGTACTTGTGCTACACACATACATACACACACATTTTTCTTAGCTGCACTACCAAATGTAATACAGTGTTTTAAAATATCCAAAATATATTGATGTATAACCCACATAGGTTGTGAGAAATTGTACCAATTTGGTTGTAACTGCAGACCCCATCTACATGATACCTACTCTATGAAAAGCAATGGATATTGATCACCGAAAAATGATTACATATACAGAGCAATATGTACACAGGTTCTAAAATGAGGGCAGGTGTGTCCCCATCTCCATCTGTTTGCTGTGGACTCTTTCTGGACTTTATTGAAGCATGTGTCACTGTCTGAAGATCAGACACACCTAGAATACTGCTTATGAAGTTTACTGTGTCATAAGATAGCCAACGTCAATTTTCTTAATCTTGATTAAATGCCATTTCTCTAACACCATTAAAATGGTGCAAGAGTAGGTGATTTAGCGCTTGAGCAAACCACCTTACTTGTTCAGACAATAACAACAAAAACTTATTTTGATGGCCACCCATGACAGATTCTAATAAGAATCCTTTTTTATTTGATAGTTTTGCAGTGACAGATTTCTTTTTAGTTTTAATTTTTTTATTTTAATTATTTTTTTTTTTAATCTTCTGCACTGATACAAAAATGTTTACTGTAATAAGGATCATCTTGCATTTTTTTTTTTTTTTTTTTTAATTTCTTTGTCATTTGTCTGCAGACATATGGCAGATCGGATGGGGACTCCATATCTCCAACGTGTTCTAAACCAACAACTGACCAATCACATACGAGACACACTACCAGCTGTACGCAACAAATTGCAGTCACAGCTTCTTTCGATGGAGAAAGAAGTCGAAGAGTATAGAAACTTCAGACCTGATGACCCTGGGCGAAAGACAAAGGCTATGCTCACGTGAGTCCTCTGCTTGGTCTTCTTTCTTTTGTCTTTGTAATTGTTTTGTAGTTAATTTTGTCCAAGTTGCTTTACTTGATTAAGCTTCATGCCAAGATTTTTGATTCATAAAAATTTAGATAATTATAAAAAATATTTTCCATGCTAAATTGCGTATTCCATTTGTTAAGATATTTGAATGAAAACTATTTTCACTATCACTGTAATATCAACTGTTGTTGCTTTTGTTTGGCTTAGGGCCAAGCAGTAAAAATGGTTGGTAGTTGAGTGTCATTAGATAGAGAAAAAGAGTTCATGATTTAGTGTAGAGTTTATTTTGTGTAATCAAACCAAAAAGGTGTTGTAATTGATACTAGTGTCAAGTAACCAGAAGTCTTTTTTTTTTTTTGTTACAGTATCAGTTGGATCCAAATACATTAACTGGGGGTGGGGGGACTGACATCCATCCTATGTTTAGTACAGTGTATTGAAATGTTTACCAAATAACATTGATATGACCAAATAACAAGAAGATGTAATTATAACACTGTTATAAGAGAATAATTCTGGTTTGGATTTCTTTGGGAATTTTTCTGAATCTTGTTCAATCTGCTGTCCAGGCCAGTAATGATGCCTGGATCAAAACAAGTGATAGTCTGAAGGTTTGACGAATGTACCAAATGAACTTCTCATCCCAGTTCCAAGGGTGTCTGCTGCATCATATTTGTAACATGTCTTGCAGCAAAATTTGTCACCTATATGCCTAGAAAAGGTTTTTTCCTCTTCAAAAAAACATTTATGCAGGTACATCAAGTTCATAGTCTAATGAAGAGAAAACATTAATTTTAAGCAACAAATATTTATCTTACAACATATTATTCTTCTTTGTCAATGCATATAATTCATTAGGGGATATTAATCAAAGATGAAATATTACATAGTTAAAATTTCAATATCTGACTATATCTCTGAGATAAGGTATTATGATTACTTACATTATTTATATTATTCAGATTGTTATCCTCATCTTCATTACCATATTCACACCGTTTTGGCTGTTGTATGCTCTGGCTTTGTTCCGGTGATTAGATTTTTGAACCAAACCCTTTATTTCATCCACAGGGGTAGATTGTTATAGTTCTACTTGGAGAGTTGAGTTAAAGGAATATAACTGAGACATCCAGAAAAGTCATGGAACTAGAACAATCTATCCCAGTAGACAAAATAAAGGGTTCGGTTCGAAATTCCAATCACCTGAAGAAGGCTGGAGTGTACAATGGCTGAAATGTTGTGAATATGGCATTTAAGATGAGTATAACAGTCTGAATAATGTAAGTAGTTGAAATCTGAGATTAAAATTTAACTAATAGTCTACAAATCAGTTTGCAGACTTACTGATCATACTTAATATATTAGCCAATTGCATTGATAGTTGAGGTTCTAGCAAATTCTAATAAAGAATTCCATTTAAATCACAGAGAGAAATCCCCTTCTGTATCCATTACATTTGTGTTTAAGTTGAGATTTTGGAGATTGTCATGGATATGTCCATGAACATCTTTGTCTGAATTTCTGTGATTATGAGTTTTCATTATTTACAAGATTGTCTCAGGTGCCGTGAAAATTTTAAAATGTTAATTAAATTATTTTTGAAAGAATTTCAAAGCACAATAAATGTACATATCAAAATTAAAACCTCCCTTTAAATTGATTATATAAGTATATCATTGTTATAATAAATAAACATGTATATATCAATAGATGGCTTGATTTTACAAGGACTTGCCAATGAACACCACTAAGACCAAAATCATCCAAAGTTGATTTTGGAAATGACTTGGCTATCTCTCATTGTGCACGTATTGAATTGTGCTTGAAGTAATGAAGATGTGTAGCTTGTACTGAATGTATGTTTTTTATTTTTATTACATAGCGTTCAATTAAAATGGAGAAGTTTTTAATTAAGAAACAAAAATAGTAGATAATGCAAGGAAGATATTTTTAAAAAAGAAGTCAAGCTAAGATATTTCATGAAATATCAAATTATAATAAACAAAAAAATAAATGTTTTTTAAGAATTTTAATTATCTTTTTATTATAAATTATAATAAATTGTTTTGTTTGCGTTAATAAATAAATCAATAAAAGTATACTTTTTTTCTTTTTATCGTCATAAGTGTGTTGCGGAAGTTTAACTATAGGTTCAAGTGTACTATGAGATAAAAAAAGGTTAGAAAAAAAACATTGGTCTACAGGATCAAAATTTTGTTTACTGAATTTGGTCACTTAATTGTCCCTAGACTGGGTAGTATGAATATACTCAGACTCAGTGGAAATGGGACTAGCAATAAGCAAACAATTTACCAAGATATCCATAGACATGAACAGCAAAATTTAATAAAGGGCTAAGTTTGAAATTCCCTCAAGATTATCTTGTGAACATTTGACCTCTTGTGGATTGAATAAAAGGTTTAGCTTGAAATTCTAATAATGTTACTGAGTAAGACAGATGCCTGAAGAAGGACAGAAGATGCAACATTTCAACTGTTGCAAGTATAAAAACCAAGATAAGTATGTTCATCTTAATGGGAAGGTATGTAATATAAATGCTTTCTATTGCAACTCTAGTCAACCTTCCACTTTTGCAGGTCTTGTGTCTATATTTTCTGCAAATATAAAGAGAAGCAGTGAACATCTCAACAAACCTTAATTTCACCTCAGAGTTGGACATACTTTATTATTCATAGAGAAAAATCAGATATAATTTTTTTTTTTTTTTTGTCTTATTTAGAAATTAAGTTATGTATCCTTTCCTCAGTTCCCCCACTGTACCCAGTCCTTTCTCTCACTTTCACTCTCTGTAACCCCCTTGCATACTGCCTTGCTTGGGGTGAAATGATTAAAAAATAGAATGTTTTGGAAAATGTTTGTTTGTTTGTTTTTTTAGGTTTTTTTTTCCCCCCAGTTTTTATGGATAAATTGAAATAAGTCTTCCAAAAATAAAATAGTTGTCTTAAGAAATAAGAATTAAAGAATATAATTGAATTTATACTTTGTTGAATTTTGAAAAATATATTTCTTCCTTTACATGCTTTGTATTTAAAAATTTTTATATACTAATTTACAGCAGGTGTCTGGGTTCCTACCAACACAGTTGCAAAAATTTTGGAAATGATTCCTCAAATGTTTTTGCATTTGTAACTTAGTAAATTTTTGTTTTCTTTACTTTTTCTTTTCTGTGTGCTATTCTTTGACTATGTATAACAATTTATTAGGTTGGTGCAAAAATAATGACGTAATAATGTCATTTTTTGACATATTTTTTAACGTCAAAAAACGACATTATTACGTCATTATTTTTGCACCAATCTAATACTTCTAGATAATTCATAAAACTGTATTCCGTTAAAATATTAAACTGGTCAAACTTTCTTTTAGATTGTTATAGTTTTAAATTTAAAAGAAAAATGCAATTCATTTTTGCATAGAAACTTTACTACCCAGAAATCAGACATCACTTGATATCACTTTCAAAAAAAAAAAGAAAGAAATTTCTTTTATTGATGGCATTGTTTTGTTTGTTTCAGAATGGTACAGCAATTTTCTGTGGATTTCGATAAGAATATTGAGGGCACCGGTTCTGAAATCAACGTCAACGAATTGTCTGGTGGTGCAAAGATCAACCGAATTTTTCATGAGCGTTTCCCTTTTGAATTAGTCAAAGTGGAAATTGTTGAAACTGAACTTCGTCGAGAGATCAGTTATGCTATTCGTAACATTCACGGTATCCGGTAGGTTTTTTTTTTTTTTTTCTTTGTTTCACCTTATGCTCCTTGTAGAAATTGTTTTTATATTAACACAATAAATGCTTGGAATTTACTTAGCTCATATTTTTTAACAATAATTCTTTTGATTCTTGTCTTTCTTCCCCAAACTTTTTTTTTTTACAGAATATTGAATAATGCAATAACATGGTATTGAACTTTTTTTGACAATGCTGTGTATTGAATGCATCTTCTACACCTGTCTTGAATTCTAGTTCCTTATACATATGGGGCTCCTACCTTAAACTTGGCCTTTTATTATATTCTGTTTGAGTGGGTGTTTGGATAAATGCTTACTCATTTTTGTAGTGAACACTTGTAAGTATAGATGCAAAAGAGGCCCTGGATTGCATGTTGACATCAAAACCAGTTCCAGGTTTTCCCTGTTAGCAGCAGAACAGCTTGGCATGTTAAGATACTGGCCTCTCCACAACTTGTCTAGTTACTGGTTTCTCTCAATACTAGATGTTTTATGGAGTTGGAAGGAGTGGGCAATAGATGATGACAGCAGTTTCCTAATTCTTTTTATAGTATTCTTCCTCATTACCTTTTAATTTTGTTTGCCACTACAATCTTATTGCAGTATGGGTGGTGTTTTTCTTTTTTTTTTTTTCCCCATTTTGTCATTGGTTAAATCTATGAACTGCATTGACTTATGATAGGTACCTCCACGAAATCGCTAAAAAAGAGCATAGCTTGATGAAAAAGACGCCAACCTTGCCCAAAACAAAATTTTTTGTCTAAATGCTTATGTTAATTAAGAGGAAAGACCAAAGTTTTTTTTTAATTATTTTTAAAAATTTTCCTCCTTTTTAGAACATTCTAAATTTTGATTAAAAAACCTTTTTTCTATTTGTATCTAGTAAATAACATAGACAATTTTAGCACGTTTTTTGGTATGACACACATTAATTTGAAAAATCATGCAAAATAGAAATAATTATCGGATGTTAATGAAACTTTTTTTGACTATTCACAGATGATCGCATTATAAATATGTTTTTTTATGAAAGTCATGGTCTTACCCCCATAACTAATTTTATGAAAACGCTAGAAATTCTCACATGGTTTTAGTGATTACAATAATTAAAAGCACAGGGCTTTGAGGAATCTTTGAGTTTTTTTTTTTTAATTGGATACGCAGTACCTGAAAATCAGCTCTGAATTGTAACATACAAAACCTTATTATTTAATTTCAAATTTTTATTTGCTTTTTATGAATATGGACAATTTTTCTGAAAGCAAAAAAATTTTCGGAATTTTAATACAATTATTTGTTATTTCATTAATTATAATAGATTTTACATTTAAGTTGTTAAAATATTATAAAATTAGTTAAAAGCAAGATTGAATAAGTGTCCTTATGAGATAGATCTTTTTTAGCGCGTTGTAAATTGTATCATTTTGACTAATCAGAAGATCCCCAGTTAAGAAATGTAATTTTGTGCTTATAATCGAGCTGTAATTATAAAATACGGAAGACCAACCAGAATATAATTAAGTTGCGTTATTTGAGTTAAGCATTGTTCTCCGCTGTTAAGGCTTTTTACTTTTATGAAACACGTGTGGAGAAGTTAATTTGATTTTTCAATTTCAACTGAGAAGGGTACCTACAAGTATCAGTATCATCTTATGAAATTTATATGATCTTATTTTACTCAGGACATTTTTCCATAAATGAAATATCAAAATTAATAATAAAATGAATGCAAATACAAATAACAGTAGATGTATTATTTTATGGACAATTTGATAAAATTTCATAAGAAAGGTACCTATAAATTAATTAGATACCTTTAAGAAATATGAAATTTAATGTCAGTTTTATTTTAATTTCTTTACAGTATATTTCCCATAAAGCATCATAAACGTAAAGGTGAAAGCTAAGTACAAAAAAAAAAAATTAGACCGCTGAAAGTTTTCGTTAAAAATAACGGGTAAATAATTTGTTCAAAATGTAAATTATTTCACTTTTCTCCTTCCGTAGAACAAATTAGCCTCATGGAATTAGTATATCATTCATCACATTCAAGGGACACTTTATGACCTTTTGTTTTATTTTCAAATTACATCTTTTTGGCACAAAAGCTAAGTTAAGTTTGGTTCAAAATATTTTAAATAAACATTATAATTTCTGATTTTCTTAAAATAAGTTTTGAAAAATGATAATTGATATTTAAAAAATTTCAAAGTCAGATTTTTTTTTTTTTAAATGGAAAAAAATGGTCAATTTTTATTGACTCCAAAAAAACTAGATTTTTAATGAAAATTTTGGTTAGGAATGATTAAAAAATGGAAAAAAATACCCCAAAATACTTTGACCTTTCCTCTTAATAATAACAAACTTTTAGAAAAATTTTTTTTTTCGTCAGTTGATCATGCTATGCTCTTTTTTTAGCGATTCCACCCCTACCATGCCAGTTGAATGCTCCTTAGTTCCACCCACCATGCCACACACATTATAGTGAAGCACCCTCATTCCCTTCATATCCCCCTGGTGAGATGTAAGTTCTGCTTAGGCAACTTTTTCCCCACAAACTGCTGCCTTGTGGAACTGACTCCCAAAGGATGCTTCCCCAATCACTACAATCTAAACCAGTTCAAGTCCAGATTTAACCATTATCTTTCAGACATATCTGCATAAACTGTGCCTCTTACTCTGTAACCCTCTACCTTGAGTGACCTCAGGGCGTTTTACAGGGTGACCACTGTTGTAAAAAATAACAACTTCTGTTATGGTTAACTAGATTTTTCTTTTGATAAAGTTCAAGAGATCATTGGATTATTTGCCTTAATGTTCATATTGGGTTGGCAAATGCTTTTTGTTATGACCATATATGCTAATGTTTCTGTTTTCATGTTTTTTATTGTTATTCTTTATATAGTGACTTCACTCTGTCTCTAGAGAATTGGTAATGCCTGAATTTATATTCCCGCTTCATAGACCATGTCTGTTGTACAGACAAGAAGTATGCAAGAATCTCATTGGGATTTTGCATTAATGGTGATGAATGATGAGACCCTGGTTCTCATATTCTTAAAGTCTTCTTTTCCAGAACTGGTTGATTTCATTCTTATATTCTTTGCTGAATACAATGCTATAGTGTTCACTGTTGCTCTCTTGATTATATTTGTTCCCATACTCCAATATCAACTATTTCTATGAAAACTTGTTATCTATGACAGATATTAACTGGTGATATTAGCACTGCCTCTTATTCCCCCCCCCCCCAAGTGAAGTTACTATACAAAGAATGGGATCACAATAGAAAACACAAAAATAGAAACATTAGCATATATAGTCATATCAAATAACATTTGCCAGCACCCAAGTATGAACATTTAATAAGAGCAAATATTCCAAAGAGCCCTTGAAGTTTATCAAAAGAAAAAAATCTTGTTAGCCATAACATCAACAAAAAATAGAAGTTTTTAATATATAGCAAGGCTCATATTTTTTAAGAAACTTAAAAAGAAAATTTCACTTTTCTTAAATTTTAAACATGGAATTAAAGTAATTTCATACTCTTGTTAAGGTTATATTTTATATTTTAAGTATGAAATGCAGTTCAAACTTGAAAATTTCCTAATAATGACCAATTTCAGCTAATGTTAGTTGGTGCTAATTAAAAAAAAATGCAAGTGTAAATTCATGGAAATGTTTTTCATATTCAGATGCCATTTGTTACTGAAGAAGAAAAGCTGATTAGAATCTGTAATTTCAAAATAGAAACTGAAGAAATATGAGGGAGTGCTGAAAAGTTATCAGCCCAACTTGCTTCCCGGAATCATCATTTTAATGACCAAATGTCAGATTTGTAGGAGCAAGAGGAGTTGGACTTCAAACATTTGAAAGTGACCATATAGCAACATTATTTAGACTTTATATGTAACTTGTACGAAAAGTAATTGTTGTGTTTATCAATAGTTTCATGATTCAAATAGAATTGTTCTAGCACAATTAACTGAGTTTTTAGGACGTGTTAAATTTAACCTATATCCTCCTATTGTCAATTTGACACCTTTTTTTCCATATATCTTAATTATAAACTATAATTTTTTATTTTTTTTTTAAAGTGAAAGTGTCAGTGAAATATGTTCAAAATTTTCCCAGTTTTTATGTGAAATCAGCAAAAATAAAACATTTAAAGAAAATAGTTACAATATATTAAAAATAAGCATTATTTTAAACTGACACCAGGAGAATATGGGTTAAAATGACTGCAGTAAATGCCTAGATAAATTTGTGTTAGCTGCCATAGATTTAAAAGCTTTTCATATTTTTATTTTTCAGAACTGGTTTGTTCACTCCAGACATGGCTTTTGAAACAATTGTGAAAAAACAAATTGAAAAATTGCGGGAGCCATCCCTTAAATGTGTTGATTTGGTGGTTACTGAGCTAACTAGTGTTGTGAGGAAATGTGCAGAGAAAGTAAGTGATTGCTATTTAGTTATTTAACAAATTAAAAAAAATACTTCATCATGAATATATTTTCTCAGATTGATATAACACCTTTATTTCTACCTTTCTCAAATGACAGTACAAAACATAACCAGGTCACTGTTTACAAATTTTATTTTATTTGTGTGTGTGTGTCTGTAAATACTATCATTTAGTTGACCCACTATTTGTTTATTATTTTTAAAATTTACATGAAGCATAATTGTGAACAAAGGAAAATAGATTTCTTTTTGAATATTTTATTTTAATAACTATGTAAAATATACATTGTTCAAGTTAAAAAAAATAATATATAATGTTTACAAGATAAAATAAGGAACAAGTAGGGAATCTTTATAAATTTGACATGTTTGGCTATTTAGCTTCATCAGAAATTTGGTGAGTGGAATGATTTGGAGTTTTCAGTTTTTAAATTTTATGTTTTGTTTTCATTGGTTGTATCAATGTTGCATATATATTGACATTTGTGTTTGTTTATCAATTTTTAATAAATTCTAATGCCAATATATACATGACATCTATACAACGAATGAAGACAAAACAAAATAGAATTTAAAACCTGAAATATAATTCCAAATCATTCCACTCCCCAAAATTTCTGATGAAGCTAAATAAATAGCTAAACATGTCAAATTTATAAAGAATTTCCTATTTGTTCCTTATTTAATTATTCTGTCAGATTTAATCCATATTTTCAACTCATATTCTATATTTGTTTGTATCTATCTATATAAAACTTTCAGTACTTTTATGTAAGAATTTACACTATAAAAAGATTAAAATATATTTTCACTAGACTCTTCTTGAACAAATTGACTTTGTCTTGAGTTAAATTACAACCTATGAATTCATTGATGATTTCGTTTTAATGCTAATGGTAACGATGAAATTAGTCGTTTCCATACAACATTACTGTCAGCTGAAATTTATAAAATCTTTTTCTTAAAATAATCTTCTAGAAAATTAGATTTCTCAAGTCCATTGCATGTTATAGCTCTTGCTAGTATTCATGGGAGTTATCCTTCCAAACCTTTTATTTAAGCTAGTATGGAAACTTCTTGGTTATACCATTATTTTCCCTTCTACTTGCATGCACTATCCTTTTTTGTTGCTGTTTGACATCTTCAAGTGATAGAAGCTTTTGTTATTTGTTAAAGCTCTTTAAAGCAACAAATTGTCAAAATTTTTGTCTCAATTTAAAAAAAAATGCCTGTCAGATCTTTATCTATCAACAACTGAATGTTGTTTTATCCAGCGTCACTATATTGCAAATTCGAAAAGTTGAAGCAAGTAGAAAACAATAGTTTGTCACAATTTATTATTATTTTTTCTGGAATTTTATCTAATTTTAGAAATAGATCAGCTGCTATTTAAAAAAATAAAAAAAAATAAATTGTAAATTTTGATCAAATATTTTAATTCCTCTTTCAGATGGCTCGGTATCCCCGACTCCGGGAAGAAACTGAGAGAATTGTCAATTCGATCATCCGTGAACGGGACCAAAAGGCAAAGGACACTTTACTTCTGCTGGTTGATATCCAACTATCCTATATGAATACAAACCATGAAGACTTCATTGGATTTGCAAGGTAAAATAAGACACACTACATACATAAAGACTACTAATATTAGTCAAAAAACATTTGAAATTGTATTTCGTAGTACATAAAATATTAGTCATTCTTAGTGTTATTGTTAAGAACAAACAGTGAAAGTAGTAAAGGAAAGCAAGAAGAAAGGACTAACTATCAATTGTAAGAAGACAATGTATGGTTGTCAGCACAAAAAAAAAAAAAAAAATTCAACCCAACATGCCAATTATGAATTGGAGATACCAAAATTAAAAAGTACAAAAATGTAAATCTCCAGGAAGTGTTTTAACAGAGGATGGAAACTACAATGCCAAAATCAAAAGGCGCATTGGTATAACAAAATTAAGCAAAGTATTAAGAAACGGGGAAAATTTAATTAGAAACCAAGAAAAGAGTACTAAGCTGTTATTACATAACAGTCATTTTATATGGTAATGAATGCTGGGCAATCTTATCACAGATGGAAAAGTGACTTTAAATGTCACAGAAATGTGATTCTACAGGATGATTCCAAGAAGACTGGACTGAACAGGTGAACAACAATGAAGTTTTAAAGAAAATGGAAATAAAGACTATACTTATATACAAGATCAGAAAGAGACCATCAAAATTTCTAGGGCACATGAGGAAAGAGAGCTTGGAAAATTTGACACTGACAGGACATATTGAAGGGAATAGGAACAGAGAAAAACAGTGCTTGACCTTTCTAACAAGCTTGTGTAAAAAAATTTTTTTATCAAATTCACCCCATGCAAGGCAGTAAAGACACTAACATACAAGGGGTTACTGAGTGTGAAAGAATTAGAAAACAGAAACATAATTAAACAGAGAGAACAATAGAAGAGTAATTAAAAAGACAATAGATAACAATTGATATTACATTTAAATTTTTGAATGTTGGCTGGAAAGCATGGAGCCAGAAGTGTGTTGCACAAGCAAAAAAAAGAAATTGTTACATCTCACCAATTCAACTGTAAATTGATAAAACCTTGTTGCTAATCTAGTATTGTACTTAAATTCACAAAGTCTAGGTGCCATTGCAAAGAGCTCATATGATCAATTACCATGAAAGTATTTATAGAAAAGGCACAAGGAAGCAACTTTATGTTGGTGGGAAAGTGACTGAAGCCGAGACGCCAGGTCAGGATCAATAATATTGCTGATTCTTCTTTGGATTTTATCAGGAACCTCAAAATATATTGCAGGAGCACCAGACCATATGTGGTAGCAATATTCAAAGCATGGACAAATAGTATATGAGATAGATTCTGAAGAAAAAAAAATTGTCTAATATGACACAGTAAACTTTCTTAGTAGCAGACCTATATAGTCTTTCCACTTCATGTCAAGGTGCAATGAGTCACTCTCCTGTAGCTTAGCATCACAGCTATGATGATGGGAAATAGAAAGGAATCTCTTAGATGATTAATAGAGAGCAATTTTGTTTTGGAGGGGGTGTCAAAATTAAGAAGGCTTTGCCCCCAGTTAACAACAGACTGTAAGTCATTTTTGAGATCAGCAGCTACTTTGACTTTATCGAACTGATCAAACTTACTATTGAGACAGGAGTAAATGATTGTGTCATCAGTATAGATACCAAGTTGAGAGCTGATGCCACCAAGAAGGTCATTGATGAAAATTAAGAGCAAGAATAGGGTTTTGGGGGAACCCTGCTTTAGTACTGTTGTGGAGGGATTTCACAGTGGAGGCTTGTATTTGTACTCAGTTGGTCCTAAAATAGGTTTGACGTACAAAACGTTAGGAACTTGATATAATAGGTATAACGCAGAGTAATCTAGTTGTGGTCGCTGATACTTTAGTATTTGACTGTCATCTGACATTGACTGACTCACTGACTCTTACTACTCCTACTTATTATAGGTGGGAGAGTCTATTAACTATAGAATAGGTGTGTTCCACTATAACAAGTACAAAATGATCAAGAAGAATGGATGTTTGATTTGATAAGAAAGACTAAATCAGTTCAAAAATTCATCCAGATAAATCATAACCTTTCAACTTGTGAAGAAGACTGGTATGCTAAACCCTATCAAATGCTTTTTGAGATGTCTGAAGCAACAATCCAAGCTTCACCATTCTTATCTAAAGCTTGATAGATTCTTTCAGCAATAATAGTTAATGTCAACAGTTGACTCGGAGAAACAAAAACCATATTGCTTGTCTGAAAGATGTGATGTGAGATGCTTAACCAATTCAGTGTTGATTAGGGCCTCTAGTCAGTCAGTTATGTGCCATGTGTAATACATGCTTAGGCGATCATGTACCTTTTGATACATGACTGACGAGGCAGATTTTTTCCTGCAGTAGGTTGCCATTTCTTTTTGCGGTAGACCAGTTGCCATCCAAGGCTATAGAACCCGGTCTGTCCTGCTATTTACCCATAGCTGGGGGGAGAAGAGGAGGATTCATACTTTTCCCAAGGGCATTAGCACGTAAGTGAATGTAATGGATTTGACTGGAATTTGAACTCCGCTCTCCAATTCATCAATCTGAGCCGCTATCCATTACTCCACTGTGCCTCCTAGGGTCCCTAGTAGTTTACCAAAAAGAAGTAGAAAGCTAATCGGTTGATAGTTGGAAGGATCAGATGGTTCACCTGGGTTCTTAAAAAAATTGGAACAACAGATAAGAATTTCCAACAAGCAGGAAATCAAGAAACAGCAAGGCATTTATTATACAGTTTTGTGAGAATGGGAGCAAAGGCTACAAATGACAGGATCGCTCATGTTCAGAAGGGACACAACACATAGAACAAGAAGTGTCAGTCTTTTGTAACAGGTAATATTATTCATTAGTCATGTACTATGAACTGGCAGAGTTGATGCAGCATTAAAAGTATCAGTCATGACTACAGTGTCCAACTTAGATATAAAGCATTAAACAACGATAAAAATTTTTGGTAAATTGAAAATAGTACACCAATTAAAATTCACAGACATGTAATTAATGAAACTCTGTGGGGATTCAAATGATACATGCACTGATTGAAGTTTGAAAGGAGACCAGTTTTGTATCAAAAACACACATTGCTGTAAGAAATGTTAAATTGAACATTTGTGCAGTCCTGATTTAACACCATCTGACTTCTGGTTGTTCCTGAAATTGAAAGAATTGTTGTTGAAAGGTCAACATTTCTCATTTGATATTTGTCTATATTTCTGAGATGAGGTATTATGTACATTATTTACATTATTCGGACTATTCTCATTTGAATCTGATCATAAAGCTGCTTTGCCCTATTCAGTCAACATTTGATACTGAATTTAAAGTTAATTTACCCTATTTGGTCAAAAATCAACCAGAAACTTTCTTCATATAAACAAGGATAAGGTGGATGGAACCTTATGGTAAAATCTATTGCGATTAATGTTGAGAAATAAACTTTTAATTATGAAGAGAAATAAATTGGCTTCAAGATCTTATTAGAGGGACAAAATTTTAAAAAAGCAATAAAAAAAAAAATGGAAAAATAAACAGAATTTCAAGAGTTGGTATTATGAAAATAAGAAAAAAGACAGAATGAGTTAACTGGTTATCATTCCACATTCATTAGAGCTCAATTGAGGAAAGTCAAAACTTTTGTGTATGACCAACTAAAAAGGAAACCTGATAAAGAAAATAAACCCACATAAATAATATATTGATGGGTATATTTTTTATAAATAAATTACATTCAGTCACAACAACTGTTTGCATAAGGAACATTGTTTTTGATTTAAGATAATTACAGGGACTTTTAAATTATAGTTTGAATGCAATTTGCACAAAACGGAACATGTCCTCCTGAAAGGTTGATGCACAGTCTCAATTTGTTATAAGGTGTTATGCAATTGTAGACCCCAGTGCAATAGCACACCATTGCAAATTATCTTGTCAATCCTTTCTGGTAGATGCTGGGACATGCTCTCTAGTAGTTGAGGGGTCCTACCCTTGTACTCAGTTCCACATTGACATTTAAATACATATATTACAGGGATAGTTTTAGAGATGATCAAGACATCTTTTTGAATTGATTTCAACATAGATCAAGAAGAGAAAATAATGTGTGAATTGTTCAAAAAATAAAATTGTCTGATATTTTAGTTTAGTTTTACTTTAATGCATTCTCATTATTCTGTCTGTTCAACTCTTGTACCTCTAATGATACATTTGAAATATTGTGATATTTATTTTCAGAATTTTATTTTGCTCTATGCCAATTAAAACTATTTGTAGTTTTTCTTGTTATTTTGAAATATCTTTTTGAGTTTATCACATGCAACACACATGTTTTAATAAGTGAGGTAAGGTTCAGATGTATTTCAGAAATGCTTCAGACTTTGTTTCCTTTTTAATTTATACATCTGAGGTTCTTTAGACTTTAAAAAATATTTTATAAACATAAGATTTTTTTCTGTGTCTCTGGTGAACTTAAAAAGACCTGCAGATAGTATAATAGATAATGGCACAGAAAGTGCAATTGGCAGACCGAGTTGCATTCATTTTTGCACAAAGAATCTTTGGAAAGGAATTCAGTCTCTCTCTCTCTCTCTCTCTCTCTATATATATATATATATATATATATATATATATATATATCTCATTCCCTCAGCTGTGGGTTAAATGGCAGGATAGATTGGGCTCCTTAGCTTTGGGTGACAACCAATCTAAGAGAAGGATTTCTCCAAATTCAGAACCATGGAGGAGGCAATGGGAAACCACTCCACTATTTTTCCCAAGAATGCATGGCAGTTCACAAAAAAAGTTTGTGAAGAGCCATGATCACCTCCTTCTGAAGAGACATTGCAATAATAAAAAAAAATAGTTTCATTGGTCAAATGAAATAATTGAATTTATTCTTGTATTTGTTGAAACCTGTATTAATGGGTCCTTGGTTGCTTATTGACATTGCTTTTCAAATTTTGGATTTATAAATTCTCTCCTTTTTATTTTTCCAGTGCACAACAGAAATCAGAAAACACCAGCAAAAGGAAACTAGGAAATCAAGTAATTACATTATTTCTTGTTTTTCATATTAAAACAGTTAAATTATATTTTAATTCTTTCTTTATTAGATCTATACTTGATGAATTTGAATTGTAATTTTGATATTTATACAATAATTTGATATGATCAAGGAAATTAACTTTTTTTTCTTTTTCTTAAATGGTGTAATAATGAAAGTAATACCAAACTTATGTAAATCTAAGCATTATTTACACTCGATTTTAATGACAGTTGTTACAAAAATGAGGAGTTAATATTCTCTTTGATTTCCAAAAAACACAAGCTAGTCATGAATAAATCCATTGATGTTGTGCAGAGAATTTTTGGCACTGACAGACCATGCCAATGCATCATCAAAGAAACAACCAACATCCTCAATTGTTTTGATCATTCACCAATTTCAAATTATTTTAGGAATATTATCCAGACAGCAGAAAGTCTGTTCAGTCCTTCTAGTAAAAGAAAAACAAAAAACCCCACAAAACAACTAGCTTAAATTGATGTACTTGGGCTGAACTCATTTGAAGCAGCAGGGGAGACAGGTTAATCAAACAAAGTATTAGATTTTATTACCTGGAGAATGTAAGTTCAATCCCTGTGGGGTAACAAATATTGTCCATAGAATAGATCTTAACACAAATAACGGAAAATCACATTAGAAAAAGGTTTAAGATAGATTTTAAGTAAACTGAAATTTCAAGGAAAAAAGACATGTTTTTTTTGTCAATTGCATAATTGAAACAAAAAAATGGAAAATGTCAAAGAAAAGAAAAATGGCTAAGGAAATCTAAACTTTTCAAGAAAAGTGGTAATATTTTTTTTTATTTAGTGACAGGTTGCTGATTGCCCCACATTCGAGAAATTACATGTAAATTTTGCTTTTTTAAAAGTTGTACTTAAACACAAATGGCTGGAATATATGCAAAATCTTGCCTACCTGCACTCCCCCAACTTTCTCTCATACACAATTCATATCGCTCAAAATTACCAACTGATTTAATTTAGCTTTGTGAATCCATGGACCACTGGTTGGGTACTTATCCCTAAGGGAGTCTGTGCATCCCATTTAAACATGATCTGTATATCATAAGTCTCTTGATTGTGTCAATCAAACAATGGTATCTCTTTTACAAAATGCTATTTCAAGGGTAAACAAGTGGATCTTCTATTTGGAACACTGAGGAAATGAGGGTGGTTTGAGTTTATGGAAGTAACATGATGCCTTAGCTGTACAGTTCTGAATTTGTAGAACTAAAGAATGTAGCTCATCTGAAGATTTGTCATGGAGTGATAGTAATGACAAGCTTGCAGTGTTTTGTCTATGAAGAAAGAGGATACAGTCTTCCTTTACACAACCATGTAGACAGTTTTGTGAAAGAGAATGTATATCATAATTTTTGATTGCAATATATTAAATTTTGGTGTTTCACCATAATATTTTACATTCATTATTTTTTCTCCCTTCTCTTTTAGGTCATACGCCGGGGCTGGTTGACTCTCCACAATATCAGTTTCATGAAAGGTGGATCGAAAGATTTCTGGTTTGTCCTCACCGCGGAAACATTCTCTTGGTATAAAGATGAAGAGGTCAGTTGTTTGCTTAGTTTGTTTTTTTTTTCCTTTTGTTTTTCCTTCCCATGACAACAAACTAATTCCTTATCATTTTCAACTTTTCCTGTTTCCAACAATATTCCAATCTCTATAAAATAAATATTTTCCAATATATATCTTTAAAAAAATGTTTTCTGTTGCTAAATGATTTCTAAACTTTTGCATCTAATTAAAATTCTAGAATGTATAAACAGATATTTATTAAAAGGAAGAAAGAAAAAAATTTAACCTGTTCCCTACCAAATACATTTTAATGGTGTAATTCCTATGTCAGGTTTTTTCTTATAAAAGAGTAATAAAACTAAAAAAAAATTTAATCATATGATTAAAACATTTTTATTTTCATACAAATCAACAAATGTATGAGAGGACATCTAATAAATGTAATATATACAGAAATAGGTTAAAATATTTTAAAATCTTATGAAATAATTTAAAACCTGGACCTACACATAATGCATCCACTACTTTTCATATCACCAAAGTAAATATCCAAATTTTCGTAATAACATCTCCTTGTGTAATTTGCAAAAGAATAACACTGTTGCAAGACAAGTCCTCTAATTATTGAACCTGCCAAAATGAGTCATCTTGTCACATGTATTGCTAAGACAAGTTATCTAGTCCAAATGTGCATGAAACTACCACTGAAACTTAGAGAATTGTATTTAATTACGAAAATAAAAATAAAATATGTTAACAAAATCAACTCATTAAATATTGTTTTCAAGTACTTAGATTTATTCGATTCTTTAGGCAAACATTATTTTGTTCATTGTAAATAATGATAATACTTAAAAAAATTTTTTTTTTCATTTTTTTTACAATGATGTTCATTCTGTATAAGGCTCAAGAGCCACTCGGGGTAGAGAGTTACAGAGTAAGAGGCACCACCCCCAGTAAGGTGATAATACCACATGTTAAATACATTTCTGAACATGTTTAAATTGTAAAATTTGGATTTGATCCAAAATGCAAGAAATATATTTTCACTTTTCTCTCTTGGCAGACAAATTCTTGGCCTTTATATTTAAGGAAGCCAAAAATTAAATTGAGAGCTTTTTGTTTTATTTTTTATGAAGTAAATATAGGATATAACATGAATTGTTTATTGATTGTTCCTAATCACACACTAAAAGGACCCAATCAGTACTTAAATGGAGGTATTGCTTAGGAATACTGAGTACTGTAACCTACAATCCAAAATGTCTCTCCTTTAAATAACTCACAGTTGGTTGATAAGATGTTAAAAACAAAAATCAATCAATACTCAAGGGGATTGGTGGTTATCCCCATCAAGTATTCTCTTTTGTGTATTGTTTCAGTATATTTTGTGTAACAGCGTTTAAATATATTGGTTATTTTTCGTATCAATCTCAGCAATTTGGGAAAAATCTCAAGTTCAAGGCTCTCAAAGAATAGAGAAATAAACTTAATTTGTATAAGGGAAAATTTAAAAAAAGAAAAAAAAAAGTTAAAAACTGAAATTGATTTTAAAATATTGAATGCTTTGTTTTATTACTTCACTTGTTAATTTTCAAACAGTTAATATAATCTGAAATATGTGTGGGTGATGAAATTTTGTCGGTTCAACCCACTTGTCAAAAAGTCAGTATTTTGATGTTTAGTCATTAAAATGTTCTTTTTTAAGAAGTGGGTTTAACAGAACTTTTCAGCACTTCAGTTTTTTTTGTTTTTTTTTTTTTTTTTGCTACCAGTTTTTTTTTTTTTTTTTTTTTTTTTTTACTTTCAACTCTGAATCATTTACATATATTTTTTATTAATTTTTTTTTTTGTCCTTTTTGCACATTTATTGTCATTATAATTCTTCAGAATTATTTTTCTATCACCATTTTTGCTGGTTTCTTTTTTTAACATTTAATCATTTATTTATTGTTGAATTTACACCCTTTTATTATTGCTTTAATTGTTTTTCTTTTATTCTTTCCCTTCTTACATTTCTTTATAAATCCTCCCACTGACTTCATCTTCATTTTCTGAAAATTCTAATTCTTACTACATTTTTACTTGTAAATAAATATACTGACTGTTGTGGTAAAGGCATTCTAGCTGCAAATGGACCATGTTCACTTTAATCAAAAGATACACTTAACATGTTTCAGACACTTGGCACTTTAACTTAGGGCTTTTCAAGTCCAAAGGCAGTATATTTATTATTTGTAAAATCTTCAGTATCTAAAAGCAAAACCTGTACATCGTAATATGACTAACAGTTATAATAATTAGTGTCATATGAAATCATTCTTATATTTCATTCATTTTTTTTTTTTTTTTTTTCAATTTTTGGTGTGTATTGTTTGTGGAATTGTAGCCTTTCTAAGGAAGTGGATCTGTGTTATTATTTTGATTCATTTAGCAGACATTTAAGAATTTTTTTTTTCCTTATTATTGTTGCTAATAGCAAATTCCACTCATTTGAGAATAATTTTCTAAATTTTCATATTTTGAATTGAAAACATTCAAAAGCAATTAGACTTGTTGATAATTTAGAGATAACTTTACAATTCTATGCACAAAATTTGATAGAAAAAAATCATCTGCTTTATTTTTTATTTTATTTTTATTTTTTGAGGGGGGATATTTGTAGAAAATCAATTATCTGATTAATTTCCTAACTTCTGACTACATTTTATTGAAAAATGTGGTATTTTACGAATTCATTTTCCTTTGTACTCAACCGAAAATAAATTCATAAAATGCCAAATTTTCATGCTTGACTTGTGTGAACTCTTCTAGACTATGACCCATCAATGTACCAAATATAAATTGAGCTGCTTTAATAATGATCAAAATTGTAATCAAAATTTAATATCATCAGTTGTCTCTTGAAACTCACAGGTGAAGAAATTTTAAATGACGTTCATATAATTAATTTTATTTTGTATTTAATGACTTCCTGGTCAAAGTGCAATAATGCGTCAACCCAGAGCAATCTGAACATAGTAAATGGTTTTATTAGGTTGTAAGATGGAATAATATATAAACATTTGGCAAGGGTGCTTAAAATTTAAAAAATAATAGAAATCATTCATTCATTTCTATTGAAATTATAGTATAATTATCATTAAGATACAACAAAAGGCTTTGAAAAATAATAATGTAACCTTGAAAATAAGATAAAAAAAAATGTCTTCAGAAGGCCATTCTGCATCTCTGTGGATAAATCATGCTGGAGATAAATCTTCAGCATGATTTACTTAGTGAAGTTACAAAAATCTGGTGTTTTAACATGGATACCAGGCCATGTTAGCATAAAGGGTAATGAGAAAGTAGATGAAATAGCAAAAAAAAAAAAAAAAAACTACCTGTATAATGGAAATAACTAATATAAAAATTCCCTATATAGTTTTTAAAACGAAAATTAATGACTGTAACCTAGAAAAAAAAAGTAATTGGTAAGCAATATGAGGCACATTCTCAGAAAAGAAACTTTACAAACACCAACCAAATGTTGGACAGGAAAACGCAAAACTACTAAAAGGTAACTAGAGTTCATATTGGACATACAAGACTAACTTGTGTACACCTGCTAAGAGTGGAAGATGTACCTCAATCCACCCATTGCAATCATAGATTAACAGTTAAGCACATCTGATTGAATGTAAAAGCTATCAGCTTAAACATAGTAAATACTACACTGTTACAAATATAAAAAAAAGATTGTTTAAAGATGTTACCCCTGGCCAGATAAGGTTTCTAAAGAAATAGGAATTTTTAAATTACTTTAAAAATTGTTCATGTATGAGTATATAAGAAGGACTGATTTAAATGGTTCAAATTGTTAGAATAAACAATCTATTTAAAATAAATTGTAATGAAAAGTGTGTGTGTGTATGTATATATATATATATATATAACATCATCCACAGACAGACTGTTTCGCTGTTTCACAGCTTATCAGTGTGGCTAGACATCCGGTTGCCTCTAGCTAGGATCGAAACCTGACTGAATTGGTGTCAGTTGGAGATTCTAACCATTAAGCCGTCGGCGCACGGTAGGGATGAAAGTGGATTTTTAGCGTATTTATTTTTAGTAACACGCCAAGTGACTGACAGTGACTCAATTCGCATATATATATATATATATATATATATATATATATATATAGTCACTTGGTTGATGTAAAATGGCCCATCAGAGTTGGCATGCTGTTAAACAAAATTGAAACAAATCAACTCTGCAAGTAATGCATTAAAAACTCTTTTGAAGGACGAATTGCATGAAAAGCTTAAACTGTGTGTACTTGTTAATGAAGTTGTAGAGGAAGTAGATGTGTCAGGGGAAATAACTCTTGTAATATTACTAAATGATGTTCAGTGTGATGTAATGGATAATGGCTTGAAATGAGAAATCAGAGAGATGTTTGAATTCCAGTTGGGTTTGTTACATTCACTTATGAGTAAATACCCTTTGGAAAAGTATGAATCCACGTCTTCTCCTCTCTGCTATTGGTTGAATAAGCAAGACAGCCCGGGTCCTATAGTCTTGGCAGGCAACCAGATGACCGCAGAAAGAAAAAGCAGCCCACTGTGGGAAAATTTGCCTAATCAGTTATGAAATGAATGATACATGGTCACCCTAGCATGTATCATGTATGCCACTTAGCTGATTGAATATTTCTGAGAGCAGTGAAAGACAGAACAGTGTGGATAAACATTATCACTCATGTCCCAAAAGGATGTGGCAGAGAGAGAAATAGGCAATTAAACTCGTGTTTCTCAATAAAACTGATGAAAAGTAATGAAACATTTTCTGTTTTTGTTTTAAATTAATTACAGCAACAAACAGAAAATCTATGAAGCCTGATATTTTAAAAAAAAAAAATGACATTAAGTTGTATTTTTTTGCAATAGAAATTTTAAATTACATTTTTCATCATTATTTTTTAATTCTCCATTATTTTTTTAAATAAATTTCCATTTTGATTCTTTTCAGTTTTTATAAATTCTCTCTCTGCTCCCCACAATTTATAATGGAAGAAGTGTTTATTTGAAAATATTTTTTCTTTTTCTTAAGATATATTGACTAAAAAAGAAAGAAAAAGCTTTTTCTATTGGTTTTGAAGCTAATGAGTAATGAAAAGAAGTCTTGTATTATGTGAATATTAGAAATGTGTATTGCTCTTAACTTTTGGTTTATTTTGTTTGGTTTGATTGTCGTTTTTTTTAATCAATTATTGTCCATTTTGGCCTCTAGGCGTTGATTGACCAATTAATATCAAAACATTAAAAAAAATGGCTAAAACCATTAAAAGATGTGGCTGTTTCATAATTTT